AACAGTAATATAGGATTTCTTTATCTGAAATGAAAATGATATATATATATATATATATATATAAAATAGTGATTACACGATCATCATTGAAGAAGATACCATGCGATGAATAATTCCTATGAGTCTAGTTATTAACCAATCAAACAAACCGATCGACCCATAGGAGTGATCCATCATCTCACGGTATCTTTTTCAATGATGATCGTGTAATCACTATTTATATACATATAGTATATGACTAACTCATCACTGTCTATCTTATTGATCGTTATTGTAATAAAATAATTATAATTCCCGCTATAATAATTCAATTATTTTAAGCAATTATAATATAATTATTTATTGCGTATGATTATATTATAATTGTTTAATACATAAAAATAAAATAAATATATTGTATATCAAGTATGAGAAATCAATAATATTAGATTTTAGGGTTAAGGATATACTTAAGGATATATTGAAGGATTAATTTTAATTAATTAAACTGTTATTATAAATATAGTAATTATTTTGTGATTGCAAATTTAAATAGTATACAATAATACTAAAATGTATACTCAACTATAGTCATGTGTGGTATCAAATGATTCAGTATAACAAAATAAACAGTTATTATATAGATCAAAATAATAATTTTATATCTTATATTTGATACTTTATAAAATTCTAAACGTTAAAATTTATCTTATTTTTTAAAAATTTTGCCGCCATATTAAATAATTATCGATTAATCTTTTATTAATTAACATTGTTTTAAGTTTATTAATTTACAGTTTATGATCATAATTATAATAGATTATTTATTTTAATTTTTAATTATTTCTATTAATATTTTATAATAAAAACTATAATTTAATATTTAAAACCTAATATATATATATTTAGATATATGTTTAGAATATAAAAATTATATTACCTTTTAAATTGATTAAATTGTTTATTTGTTATTATTATTATTAATTATAATTTTATGTTGATTATATATTTATACTATTAATTTTTTTCAATTAAAAACTAACTTTTTTATATGAAATATTTCTATTAATTAATATACAATATTAATATTATAAATACAGGTGTCCATAATGTAGAAAAGTTTAAATGCATTTAATTTATTGGATTTAATTCATATATATTTATATTTCTGAGTAAAATTTTTTATATTGTTAATGTAAATGACATTAATTATTTTTTTTAAATTAGGCGTTGTTCACATATTACGTTCGCACTTTTTAAGAAATCTAGACCCCCTCCCTCCCCTATGTTCGCAATTGTTCGCATGGTCATTTAAAAATATTACGTTCGCTTGTCCCTAACCGCTACCCCCCCCCCCCCACCACAATAAATAAAATATTATCTAATTGCGAACGTGCTTAATGTCTCTACCAATGAAATATTGTCTATTAATTAATTTACAATATTTAATTTTATAAATATAGGTGCCCGTAATGTGGAAAAAACTAAATGTATTTAATTTATTGAATTTAATTTTTATATATTTTATATAAATATATGTTTAATTAAAAATTATTATAATCAAAATATAAATATTAATTTATATTTATATATATTTACATAGAATTTAACTTAAAACAATTAATTAATTATTTATATTATTTATTGTATCTTAATTATTATTATATTATTGTAATTATTTATAAAAAAAATCTATTTAAACAATTTATAGTAACTGTTTTGTAATTAAATATAAGTTTAATGTTTTTTAGTCAATGAATTGAAATTGGGTTTCCCTAAGTTTATCAAAATTAAGATAATAGTGTTTATAAATATAATATGGTAAAATAATATTTTCAGCTAGCAAAACTAATATTTATAATTACATTTTTAAAAAAATAATTAAAATTAAATCTATTAAAAATCTATTTATTTATTTCATTAAAAAAACAATTAAATTATAATCATAACAATTATTTAATAAAAAACTGTAATATTTTATAGTTAAGCATTAATATATTAAATTTATTATTTATAAATAAATAATATTAGACTGGACGTGTATTTATGAATTAAAATTTTTATAGTTAATAAACTATTTTAATTATAAAATAAAATTTATTATTTAAAATTAATACTAAAATATTGTTTAATTTAAACTAAATATTGTTTAACTTGTAGGCATTTATCATTATATTTATAAATACATAGGATTTTTATACATTTTATATAATTTAATAATTTACTATTACACTTAATTAAATAGTCATAAAAAATAAAAATGTTGAAACAACAAAACTAATAAATATCATAATTTTTTTTTGTTTAGAAAATTTAAAACATATTTTATTGTCAATATAAATTATATTTAAGTAAAAATTAAGGATAATTAATAAAAAAGCGATTTAATTGTCTTTCTTCTAATAATTTATTTATAAAAATTAATTTTATAATTTTATTAAAATAATAATAAAATATTTTTAGCATTTATTATTTAAACTTAACTAAAGTTTGTTTTAAAATTTTTTTTATATAATATACTTATGTTGATTAAAATAAAAAATAAATTATAATTTAAATATTTTATTAATATGTTAGGCTCTTTTGTTGACTAAATGCTTTGTTATCTCTATTAAATATATATAATAATAATAAACAATTATATTATTAGTTACAGTTATTTTTAATTTTTACTATTATTAAAAATATTATTCAATATACTGTATATACAATACACTATTTTTTATTTTAAAATTTTCTAAGGTTTATTTAAAATATATTCTAATCAATTTTATTTTACAGTACTATATGTATATTTTTTAATATATATAAATAAAATAGTTAAACTTAAACTTTATTTTAATACATAATAATTATTATTGTATAATTAATTGTTGTGCTGTATTACAAATAAATTAAAATTGTAATAATTTGTATTTAAAAAATTGTTTAGTCAAATACAAAATTAAAACAATTAATTAAATATTGTTCATCAGACGAAATTTTATAATAAATAAATTTATTAATTAAAACAAAAATATTTTTATAATTTATTTTATTTAATTATTATTTTATATTTTTAATATTCTAATTTATTTATAATTAATAAGGTTATTATAGTATTACATTTTATAATTTATTACATTAATATTTAAACATATATTTTTATTAAATCTTTTAATATAATTTTTTAAAAATATTTTTATTATAATTAGTTATGCTGATTATTTTATTTGAAAATAAAATAAAATTTTTATTATAAAACTATATATATTATTTTATTTTCAATAATAATAAATAAATAAACTAAATTCATAAATAATTAGTAGTGTCTTGATTTCCAACTAAAAAAATTATTTTGTTGGTTTAACGCTTATAACTGGGACTTAGAATGTCCACCGAAGTTGACCAGTGGACGCTATTTCCGAAATTTTATTATAACTATAAATAACTATTTCTTAGGTTAGCAACTATAAAAACTTATAAATAACTATTTCAGTTATTTTGAAAAATATAAGCATTAAATTGTAAAATATAAGCATTAAATTGAAAAATATTGCTCAAATATAAGTAAAAACATAAAGTAATAGTTATATAAATTATATAAAATGTGTAAACTGTTATCAACTCATATTACATTTTTAACAATAGAAATATTAAGTTTATTTATATAAATAATTTTTGTAAATATGCTGAAAACAAGTGAATTATATATCAGTTGAAATATTTATAAGAAAATAAATAACTATTTCAATAACTATTTGGCTTTTTTGGAAATTATATACAACTATTTAATACAGTTTAAATAACTATTTTAACAACTATTTGACGTTTTTTGGCAACTATTATAACAACTATTTAATAGAGTATAAAAAATTATTAATCAATACACTAATAATTAGTAACCAAACTTATGAGCTATTAATTTTTTTATCAGTTAATTATTATGGCAACTATATTGAGAAGTTTGTATTAATTAATTGTAATTATAAATAATATTAATAATTATATATATATATTTTTTAATTTATAACATTTATAATTTAAGTTTTAATATAATATTATTTTATTGTTTAAAGATTAATAGTTGATTAGTTGTATATACTATATTTATAGTATACTATATTTGTTATTATTGATGTATTATTAATTAAATTTACTTTTAAAAAAAATCTAATTATAAATAGATTATTTACATATTTTTGATTTACCTATTTATATATAAAATAGACTTTTATAAAACTTTAAAATATTTAAAATATTATATTATTTACAGTTTTATTTTTTTCAGTCAGTTATTTGTGATATTATTTAATATTATTAATAAAACATAAAGATTAGGATTAGTTTTGTTTAAATTATAAAATAAAAAAATTAATAATCATTAAACTGCTATAAATTACTTTATTTTTAAAAACTAATAAATTAATATAACTTTAACAAACAAATTATTAGAAAGGGGTTACCAAGACATATTAATTAATTTTTATAAATTAATTATAATAGTAACTATATTGAGCAATTTGTATTAATTAATATTAATTATAAAATTCAATATTATTTTAACTTTTCTAACTTTATTAATTACTTTAAAATTTTAGTTTTTTAAACATAAACTATATTTTTTGGTTTTTTATTGAATTTATATTTATTATTATAAAATATATTTTTATTACAAATATTTATATATATATATATATTAATATTATTCATGATTAACAATAATATAAATAAATACAATTTATATTTAATTATTATTAAAAATTTAATTAATAATTAATAGGTCTATATTGTATTTGATTACTAGTATTATTATTATTATTATTATTCAAATGTTTTTTATACATTAATAGTGTTGTTATTATCATAAGTATTACAATTAGTGTCATAGTTATGACTAAAATAATTATTTGTTGACTTGAAAACTGTTGACTAGTATATTGATATTGACTTTGATTTACCAAAAATTGTTTTGCAATTAATTTATTTGATTTGTTAGTTGTATTTAATAGTAAATAATTTTTTTCATTAGATATTATAACAGTTGATGACATGTTTGACTGGTTATTATTATCATATAAACTATAGTCTACTAAATCATTATTATCATAATCATCGTCACTGTTGTTAGTATTGTTTAATAATAACAAAATAGGACAGTCGTGTTCATCGCTACCATTGGGACAGTTAGCTCTACCATCACATTCCAGGCCATTGTATATACATAGTTGTTGGCCGCCATCGCACCTAATGGTATCCCCAGGTTTAGGACAGGTATGGTTCCAAACACCTGTAGATTTAAAAAAAAATCATAATAATTATTACAATGAAAAATAGTTTTAAATATTTTTTTTAAATATGTTTTTTTACCACTAAATGCTGTTATTGTAAACTCAAACTCTGCAGTACTGTTTGAACCGGTATTAAACTCAACAGTTAAGTGATTATTATTATTGTCTAAAAATTTAGTCAAACTTTTTGTTGAATCCGATGTTTGACACCATTTGTATTGATTATCAATTACTATATGATCTTCACAGCCATTATTATTATTATCACTATTACTATTAGTTAGTGATAGCGATTGGACAGTAATAATAAAACCCTTGATATTGATATCTGTCCCCAAAATCATTGTATGACATCTACGGTTAGACACTGGCAACGACCCGATCGGTGCCGATCTCAATGTAAATGTCGAAAATTTTCGGTAATCGGTAACTAATATCCGTCGGTCATGATTTTGGTCACAATAGTATTGCATAAAATCTAAACAAAATAGACAATTAAATATATATTTATAATAATAATTATTATATTATAATAAACTTAAGAAATAATAAACTAAAAAATAATAGTAACATAATAGTGTCAAATAAATTTAAAGTTAGATTTATTTTAAAATTGTCGTTATTATTAATTATTTTATTATTATTATAAACTAAAAAATAATAATAACTAAATTAGGTGTTAAATAAATTTATAATTAGATTATTTAAAAAAATATTTGTTGTTATTATTAATTAATAATAATTATATTATAATAAACTAAAAATATAATAAAGTAAAAAATAATAGTAACTAAATTAGGTGTTAAATAAATTTAAAATTAGATTTATTTTATAATTGTTGTTATTATTAATTAATTTAAATTAAAATATTTTTTTTAATAACTTACATGTTGTATATGTTAATGGATGATGATGATGATTTAAACAATTAGCTGAAACTAATATTATTAAAATTATATAATTTATTAAAAACATTATAAGTTTTTACTGGTTATTATTTATTTATTTATTAATCAAATAAACAAATATACTGTATATTTATAAAAAAAATAAAACTCCATATTAATAAATAAAACAATACAACAATAGTTTTTAGATTTATTATTATTTTATCACATATTTTGTTGTTGTTGTTATATAATATATTAATACTGTAGACACAATTTATTGTAACTGTTTTACAAAAATAAAATAATAATAAATAGTTATGGTTATAATCATTATGATTATCTTATAATAAAATATAATATAATATATATATATATATATACCAAATATAAGGTATATAAAAGTTTCAAGTGTTTTACATTAAAATATTGAAATATACTATATTTATATAATTTTTTTATAGAAAATACTAATACATTTAATAATATATAATAATTTATCAATAGATTAAACAATTATTATTTAGTTAAACAATTTTAAAAAGCATTTTTTAAAAATTAATTTTATTAATTTGTATGTGTGTTACATATGATACATACAAACAAACTAATTGCTAATATTAATGTCATGTCATATCATAACTAATACATATATGTTATAATTAATAATACTTAATAATAATGTGTTTTTATTATATTTAACAAAAAAATTGTATGCTTTTATAAAATTAGTAATTTTGAAGGTTATTATTAAAAGTAAAGTAATATAATATACAATATATTATACATAAAAATATTGTTTAATCATTTATTTTTGTTGTATAGTGAAACTACACAAAACTAATCATAATTTTTTGTTTAAATTATATATAATTAGCAATGAGTTAACAGTTATTAGACATATTACATAATTTCCTTATTTATCAAATTTTGTTTTTATTTACTTTTAATGTTTTTATTGTAATAACTTATTGTAAAAATAATGTGTAAACCTATGTCTAAAACCCACGATTTTTTCGATGAAATTCTAGTTAATATTATTTATTATTTTTAAACTATGGCTTAAATTATTCATAATTTTTTTTAATAAATTTTTTAAATATGACTACAGTTTAGTATTATTTAATATACATGTACTGTATATCAATAACTAAAAAGTTTACTAATAATTGTATAAAATACTGTATTTTTAAAAAATATATGATTTTTTTATAATAATTTTAATTATCATTAATAATATTTATTAAGTATTTATAAGTAATAAGTATTTATTTTAAAAATAAAAATATATAATTATCAATATTACAATTATTAATAGCGATACAATATTTTTCACATTTTTAACAAAAATTATGAATTATCAATAAAAATAAAATATTATAGAAATAGTTGTTAGAAAATAATTTTTTTGTTAAAACTTTTAGAAATAAAAATTAATTAATAGTTACCATCAATTATATTAAATTTTATAAATTTTTATCAATTAATATGAATAGTAATCATTTATGTTAAATTAATTTATAGAAGTTTTTAGTAAATTATTTAAAGTTAAAAACAAATAACAAAAAAATTTAAATAACAAAAAAACTATAGTAGAAAACAAATATTTTGTTATTGTTATTAATTAATTAATTAATTAATTAATTAATTAATTAATTTTTTATTGTTGTTGTGATCAATCAATTATCATTAACGGGTGAATAACCGCTATTTATACCACCGTTTTGACGTTTTTTAACAACTTTATAGACAATAAAGACCAACAACAGGGCAGCAATCAATACGCCGATAACAATGCCGGCTATTTGACCGCCACTTAGTGTCGATGGACTGGGTGTTGGTGACGGTGCTGGTGTTGGTCCCGGTTTTGTAGTTGGTTTAGGTGTTGGCGCTGCCGTTGTTGTTGTTGTTGATGGTTTTGGTGAAGTACTAGTAGTAGGTTTAGGTTCAGGTGTAGTAGTAGTAGTAGTAGGAGTGGGTGGTGTTGTTGTTGTAGATGGTACCGGTCTGGGACATTTACTTTCATCCTCACCATTGGCACAGTTACGATGACCATCGCACTGGTATTGTTTGGATACGCACTGGTAGTCATCGCCATATGGTGTACGGCATTTGAGATTTGACGTTGAAAAACAATAGCCCATAATTGGCACTATTTTTAGTTTTTCAACCAAATGGTTAAGTTAAAAATTAATTAACAAAAAAAAGTTATTTTAATTAATTAATTAATTAGTTTTTTTATATAAAAAATATCAGGATATATAAAACTTATTAATATTATAGTATATATATATATATGTATGTATATACTAACCATCATAGGGTGTCATAATCAATGAGAAACTTGAATTACTAGCATTTCCCCCGTGAAATGTTAGGTCAACTATTTGGACATTTGTCTTGAAGGCCAGTCCTACTTGACTACCAGTACTATTGTGAAACCAATCTACTTCTCGCTGTTGTTTATCCCCAGAACCGATAGCCAGATAATCACCGGTACCTATAGCTAGACTGTCGACACCGAGTAGTAGACCTTTTTTGCTGGGCGTCACAAATCTAATGGTACAGTTGGTTAGCGACAAGTTTTTATTGTCATCAGCTAACAGATAGATAATGGCCGGTATGTTAGTACTGTTGTTGTTGGTACCGGTGCTGCCGGTGCTGCTTAGGTTGATAATCCCATTGATACCATTGACAGTACTACTACTATTTTGACAAATTTTTTTCAAGTTGTCTATCAAATTAATATTTAAAAAAAAAATTGTATTAATTTTTAAAAATTAAAAAAAAACTATTTATAATAATCAATACAAACATTCATTATAAGTGGTGTTTTTCAATGATAAATCTGTATCAATAGTATCAGTGTTGTTGTTGTAGTTGTCATCACCAGTAGTAGTAGTAGTATTTTGTGGTAATATTGTTGTGTATTGATCATCATTATCACCACAATTGATCTCATCGTCACCATTGGCACAATTGCGATGGCCATCACATCTCAAACTTCTTGGTATACATTGTTTGCTACTATTATTTACTAAACATTTGCTATCATCGGTTGACAAACAATAATCAAATAGCGGTTCTAATAGATATATATATATATATAAAATAAAACAAATCACAAAAATTAAAGTTTCAAAACTTCAATATTTATCTGTAAAATATGTAAAGTAAGGGGAGATTCAGATATTACCATCGCACTTTTATCTAGACCCCGTCCCACCCCTATGTTCTCAATTGTTTGCATGATAGTCATTTAAAAAATTAGGTTCACATGTCCCTAACCGCTAACCCCCACCCCAACCCCAACCCCAACCCCAACCCAAACCCAAACCCAAACCCAAACCCCAACCCCAACCCCAACCCCACCCCATCATAATCATTACTAAGAAATAAAATATTATCTCTAAATACCAAAGTTATTAAGGTCTCTACCCCTCCCCCTTTACCCCTCGTATGCAAAAAAATAGCATTGTCCGACCCCCTACTCCCCTAAAGTGCAAAAGTATTATGTGAATCACCCCTAATAATAATAATTATAATACCTTCAAATGGTGTTATAATCAATTGAAGTCTAATAGTATTAAACAAATTATCGGATCTAAACCTTATATCTAGAAAGTCGGTACCATTGAAAACAGCACCCTTGACGACACCATAGGCAACACCACTACTATTAGTATTATTTTTAGACCAATTGATAACCATATGATCTGATCCGACAATTTCTATACTATCCCTATCGCCCATCAGTAGGTCATCGATGCCGACAATAAATCCGTTAGACTTTGGCCATTGAATTGCTGAACCAATTGTCAATCGGATGGCACAGTCTGTTATCGGTGTCGTTGTCTTTGTTGGTGTTGTTTGATTGGCATTTACTTGACTAACATTATCATTGACTAACAGATAGAGAATAGCCGGTATAACTGATCCCTTATTTTCATTGACTTTTAATTGAATTTGATTGACATTACGTTGACTACATATATCATACAAATTATCTGTTAAAAAAATATATTAATAAAATAAATAATAATAAAATTTGTTTTCTTTTTAATTAATTTAATTTTTAATTAATTATTAACTACTACTAACACGTTTGATAAACTTGTGGCGTAGGTGTAGGACTTGGCGATGGTGTTGGTGTTGTTGTTGTTGTTATAGTTGATGTCTCAATAGTCAACAACAACATTGATAGCATGGCTATCGTCACAATTATATAGCTATTATTATTGACGACAATTACTGAACCCATTATTTAAAAAATACCAATTGTTTTACACAACACAATAGTTAAAACAATTTTTTTTAATATTTAAAAAAATTAGTTTAATGTTAATTGTTTTTCTAAGCAAATAAATATATCCAAACAAATATGTTTTTTGTTGTTAATAATTAAACATTTGCTGATTTTATTGAATTTTTATTTTATTTTTTACAAACACTTAGCAAATAAAAAAATAAATTTTATTCAATGTCTATAAAAACATTGATTATATACTGTGAGTGTCTCAACACTTACTAGACTTAATAAAAAACACTTAATAATAATTATTTAAAAAAAATAAATATATTATTACAATTTTTTTGTATAACGTTTCAAATTAACTAAAAAAAATTGTTATAATAAACTTTAGCCAAACACACAATCATAATGTATAGCAATAATATTAATAATATAAATGATATGAAATTTTATCACATTTTGAGATAAATATTCATTACATTTACTTTACTAGACATACAACAAAAAAATACTGGTATTTAAATGCAAACATAAAATTACTTATTATTATTATTATTATTATTATTATTATTATTATTATTATATTATAATTAAAATCAATAATAATAATAATATATTTTTTATCCGTTACTATAACTTCTCTCAAATATTATTATTATTATTATATGACATACAGTATATGCAAGAGACTTGAAAACACTTGAAATATAAATAAATGTAAATGTAATTTAATATATATAATATTTATAAGGTTTTATATAATTAGTAACTTATATATTTTAATATTAACAAAAATATTAATAAGGAAAATAAATTAAAAATTTATTTAATGTTGATTTGAATTATAAATTATGAATATTATTTTTATATTAAAACTCAATTTAAAAAAAAAATATTTAATTAATCACAATTTAGAAATAATAATTAATTTATAATTAATTAATTTTTTTATTTAAAAAATAATTTAATTAAAAAATTAATGATGTTGTTGTTGTTGCATCAATACTTTATTTTTTATATATAGTTATATATATATATATATATATATGTAATTTTATATGAATAGACAAAAAATATCATATCTATTGAATGACTCATAAAATTATGGGATATGAAACTAAAACATATTTCTAAATAAATAAAATATATATTTATAAAACACATTTATTTTTAAAAATGTTTACAATATATTATATATATGATATGACATTGAAAAATATATCTTAAATTTATTCAAATATACAAACTGTGATAAAACATAAACATCATATTATTATTATAATTATTATTACTGTAAATTATAATACTGTAACAATTAATTACATAATAATTTAATTTATTTTGAAAAATATTAGCAAAAAAATACTATTAAATACTAACTATAAAACTTTATAAACAATTAATATTATTATATATGTCAATCAATTTTATCAACAACAAAAAATACACATTAATGTTTAATTATGATTCATATAAATTATACATTAAATTAGTGATTTTATTGTTATTTAACAAGCACATTTTATATATGATTATTGTTGTATAGTTGTCTTTATTATTACAATTAATTATATATTATTATAGTATATTTATATATAATAGCAGCTAATTAAATATACAAAAATTAAATCAATAAACTATAAATAATTAGATAAATTAGTAAAATATAAATATTCAAACTTAATTTAATTTAATAAATACAAGTAAAAAGTTTCAACTATTATTATATGTAATGTATTTTATATGTTATAATACTTTATAAAATCTATAATTAAAATGATAAATTAGTATCAATATTAATAACAATTTTTTTTAATTTTTAAACTTACAGTAATTTACATTAACAGATTATTTTTCATAAATGTAATCAAATAGCATTTATTTTATTTTTTAATTAATCAATTATTTTTATCAATTGTTTATTTTTAATTTTAAAAAAATAACTTTCACTTACTGGTAATTTTTTATTAATACTGTATTATAAATACTGTAAAAACATTTAGTAATTAATATTTATACACATAAATAGTTAATTTTCAAATAATTAAATTGATTATTTAAAGTATTACCAATTAAATTTAAAAAGTTTATTTTTTTTAAATAAAATGTTAAAATATGTGATATAAATATTATTATGTTTAGTTATTTTTTACTATAAAAATTAATTTCAATACAATTAAATAATATTTAATTTTTATAATAATTATTTACAATAAAATAATTAAGATATACTGCAACTGGTGATCAATAATTATGCATTAAATGAATATACAAAATATAAATTAAATTTTTATAAAATACTACAGTTTAAACAGATTAAATAATTATTAAAAACTTAATATTTTTTTAAAAAATAATAATATAAAATAAAAATCTTTAATTATTTTATAGATTTTATAATGTATTTAACAAAAATTATAAACCAATAATCCTGTATTAATATTATTATAAATTAATTAAATTTATATTGAATAATGATTTATATATATATATACTATCTATATGTGATTTAGTGTACAACAAAATACATTTGAAACTAATATCTATCTATAATTAACAAAATATAAATATAACAATTAAAAAAAATTATTTAACAAATACTGTATTATTATTATTACTATTTTTTTAATGTCCGGCCTATCGGTCGGTTGATTTCTGAAATCAATTGAAAAACTTTTAAATATTTAATTTAAATAAATAAATAAATATATTGAGTATTAATAAATTAATTAATTAAAAATATACTAATTATCTATAATATCACATGTTTTTTTTAAAAATAAATAATAATAAAACATTTACCGTAAAATGAGATAGTATTTCAACAACAAAATTATTTATAAATACTAAATAAAATTATTATTATTTTTTAAAAAAATAAAAATAAATTTGTTCATAATAGTAAAAATTAATTAATTATTTTTTAAAGTTTTTCGGCCATAAATTTCTTACCACAAAAAAATTATTAATAATTAATAATAAATGTCTCTTTAGATTTAGACTTCAACCTTAACGGTAGTATTGATGGACATATCCTCCATATTATTGGCCAAATCATCGATTGTTTGTTGTATTAAATTATTATTTGTATTATTATTATTGACATTAATTTCATCAGCAATTTCATTGCCGCCGCCGCCACCGCTGCCGGACGTCAGTCTAGAAAACGGTAAAACCCGTGACTTTTCATAGCCGTAGCCTTCAATCACTAGACGATCCTCGTAGACACTGACCGATGCAAACGCTTCGGTATCGGGCGGTGTTTCCACAATACCGTGAAATGTTATATAGTGTACACCATTGGCCAGCGTATAGCCGGATGAATGGGAGTGTCCGCTTAGGTAGCCAACAACAGACCGGTGCCGATTGAAACAGTCGACCACTTCGTCATAGTTCCAGCAGACAGTATTCCAGTCACTGCTACCCGGATGTAGGCCTACGTGACCGAAAACAATCACCAGTTCCCCCATTGAATCCGATTCCGCCAGTTCCTCGTCCAGCCATTGAATTTGTTCCCGACTAATAGCACCGTTAGATGCTTGATAGCGTCTATCTGGACCAACCAATCTGGTTTCAGTATCCCAGACATCCATATCCCGGCAGCCATGATATCGGGCCAGTATGTCGGCTGCCAACTGGTACTTCGGGTGTGTAGGTTCGTGACCCAGGACACTGATATCGAAACAGTCCAATGATATGAGTTTGAGGCCCGGCTGCGGATAAAACTTATAATACAGAAGCATATCGTCACTATCGGTAGAGCCGGTAGAGCATCGGTCGGGTAGTAGTTTCAGTTCGTTCAGACCGATTGAATCCGAGTCTACTTTCAGTTTTTTGAACAACGAATCCCTGAATAGTTCGGCCAATTCTTTTCGGGTAAAATTATATAACTCGTGATTACCTTTAAAAATACAATTGAATTAAATTATTATTAATTTTATTTATTAATTTAGTTAWGAGAGAGAGAGAGAGAGAGAGAGAGAGAGAGAGAGAGAGAGAGAGAGAGAGAGAAACAGAGTGAGTGAGAGATAGAGAGAGAGACAGAGTGAGTGAGAGAGACAGACAGAGTGAGTGAGTGAGTGAGTGAGTGAGTGACAGACAGACTGAGTCAGTGAGTGAGTGAGAGATAGAGAGACAGACAGAGTGAGTGAGAGAGACAGACAGAGTGAGTGAGTGAGTGAGTGAGTGAGTGACAGACAGACAGACAGACAGACAGAGTGAGTTAGTGAGTGAGAGACAGACAGAGTGAGAGAGAAAGAGAGACAAACAGAGTGAGTGAGTGAGTGAAAGACAGACAGAGTGAGTGAGAGACAGACAGAGTGTGTGAGTGAGACACTTACCGACGGTATGAAAAGCGGGTATAGTTTTATGACATTCAAACTGATTGAGTGTCCGACGGATAGCCCGAAGACTAGAGTCGTGAGCTTCTTGTGAATTAGCATTCAGTCCATCGATAATATCTCCCAATTGTAGTACAAAACCAATCTTTTTATTGAAATTATTGCTATAATTATCAATCATCTGCTGATCCGTTGACAACACTTGACTATCACTACTACCACTACAACCACTACTACCGATCCACTGGTCATAGGCTTTCCTAACTTGATTTAAGGCATTCCTATAGTAACGTGTTTTTGACGGGTCATACCAAGCGGGTCGGTCATCACTGTCCGCATACTGGACATCGGCTACAACACCGAACCGTACCAATTGTTTAGCCATTAGTTTATTACTAATAAATTTAAACGTTATTAATATTATTATTATTTAATACTTGAGTATTGAATTGAATCTGTATTTTAAAAAACAAAAAATTAGATAACAATTATAATTAAATAAATAATCTAATAATTAATTTAGTTATATAATAATTATTTGAGATAATTTATAGTCTATATTATAGATAATCAAAATTTAACATTGGTTATATTTTTTTTAATTAAATATACTTACACAATTTGTGTTTTATATAAACTAAAAATTTGAAATTACCTTAAATAGTAATTGAAATTATTTTTTTTTATATTTTATATCACATATTTAAATATAATATAATAAAATAGAAATTATAATTTGAAAATTATTCAAATTTATTTTTTTATTTTTTATATATTTATATAATTTTAAATAATTATCAAAAATTTCCAATTATTTATTATCATAAATCATTATAATGATAATTAAATTTTTTGCATTGTCAACTAGATTCATTATCATATACTGTATATAATTTTTAGATATATATAAAAAATTAAAATTATAAAAATTTTTGTAATTTTGTTGTTGTTATGGAAATATTTTAATCACAATTATTTTGAGAAATATATTTATATAAACACTATTATTATTATTTTATCTGATAATTACTATTTAAAAAAATCAATAAAAATCAATATTTCTAGACATTTAATATATATATAAGTGATTGAAATTACAAAAAAAATATTTTTATATATATTTAGACAACAAAATAGTAATAATAACAACAAAATGTTTATCAAATAATACAAACATAACATTGCATTTGACCTTCAATTTCTATATAGCTATAAATACACAATAATTATATAGTAATGCAATACAAAAATACTGTAAATTATTATTAAATATATATTTATATATAACTAAACGTCATTTAATATACAGTAAAAATATATAAATAACAAACTAATTATAAAACATTTGATAATATTCTCTATTTAAGTACTATTATAAAACAGTATGTAATTTATATACAGTATATATATAAATAAAACATATATATATATAATGATTAAATACTAAATAATATATTTTTTTAAAAAAAATAATTTTAAACTTATATTATAATATTTACTAAATATATTCTAATGTTATATAAATGTATTTAAATAAAAATGTTGAAACATTGAAGTCATATATTTATATATAGAGAGTAAAACAACACAAAAAAATGTCTATTAATGTAATAAATTTAGAAATATATTTATCTTAAAAAAACACAAGCATTTAACAAAAATTATTATTATATTATATTAAGTATATATATATAAACCAAATTAGATAATAAAAAATAATAATCTTAGGGTTAATGATATTTTTATCACGTTTTATAATTTTATAAATAATTTTTTTTGTTGCTAATTTATTTATTATTTAATTGTCATAAAAAATATTTAAAAATTAATAATAATAATATTATTATTATAATTTGTAATATATATATAAAGATATATATTTAATACATAAAAAATATTATATTTAAATTAAGTAATTGTATCAATAATAATCATAATCAATATGATAATATATTAATAGTATTATTTAATTTTATAAAGTATTAGTAATTTAAATTAAATCTAAATAAACATTACCGCAATTGTTTTGAAATATTTTTACCCCTCAAAAAAATATCACTAAAAATTGGTGTAATATTTACTAAAAATATTAATAAATACACTCACATATAAATAACAAAATAAATAAATATATTTATTATTGATTCATAACTTAATGGATATTAGAAAAATTCATTCAATTTATATTAATATTTAATAAAAAGAAAATCAAAATTCAATATTGAATTTATATATCATTTATTTTTTTGCACACAAATCAATAAAATCAAAATATAACTGTAAATATACACAAAATTATATCAAAAACAAAAAAAATAGATAAAAATTAATCTATTTTTTAAAAATTTGATAACAAATATTGTTATTGTTTAGTTTGATAAATCAATTATTTTTATGATTAAATTGTAAACCACTTAATAGCACAGTAACATTAAATATTATTATTATTATTATTATTATTATTATTATTATATATATTTGTAGATAATTTAATTGGCTTTTCAAACATTAAGATAACAACAACAAAAATTATTAATCAGTAATTAATAATTTTTTTTTTTGTAAAAAAGACAAATAACTGATTAGATAATAAATAGGACTTAAAAGATATCAATATTAATATCAAAAATTAATTATTTATACCATAATTATTATCGATATTTATTTCTAGTGAAATAAATAACTATTTGTTTTTTCTGATAATATCACTAATAAATAAATAAATACAACTAATTATTATTAGTTTAGTTATTAATAATAATAATAGTTAACAAAAAAAATATTTTGATATTATTATTAATTATTTACATTAAAACTAATTATTACAAACCACTAAATATTTGTCAATTTGTTAATCTATTTGATAATTTCAAAAATAAAAATTTGATTTTTTTTCTTGTTATTAAAAATGTTTTATTATTTATTTATAGATAAGATAATAATACTGGAATATTTTTTTGATAATTGAAATGATAAATATATATATATATATATAGATTAAATTTATAACCTAATTAGTTTAAAGCTGATCAAACCGGTTGAAACTGGTTTCAAAGTTAATTAATAATCTTAAAGGCTATTTGACCGCCACTTAGCGGTTGTTGTCGACTGGTTGTCGGTGACGGTGACGGACCCGGTGTTGGTGTCGGTATCGGTTTTGGTGTAGGTTTTGGTGTAGTAGTAGTAGATTTAGGTGTAGTAGTAATAGGTTTAGGTGTAGTAGTAGTAGGTTTAGGTGTAGTAGTAGTAGGTTTAGGTGTAGTAGTAGTAGGTTTAGGTGTAGTAGTAGTAGTCGTTGTTGTTGTCGGTGATGGTGTCGGACACCTATTTTCATCATTACCATCGGCACAGTTACGATGACCATCGCACTGGTATTGTCTGGATAGGCACTGGTAGTCACCATCATCTGTACGGCATTTAAGATTTGTCGATGAAAAACAATATCCCATAATTGACACTATTTTTATTTTTTACATTTTTTAAAAAAGTTTTTCAATCAATGGTAAGATAAATGAAAAATTAATTAATTAATTAATTACTTTTTTTATTTTAAAATAAAATATCCGGATATATATATAAAACATATTGATATTATAGTATATATATATATATATATGTGTATGTATATACTAACCATCATAGGGTGTCATAATCAATGAGAAACTTGAATTACTAGCATTTCCCCCGTGAAATGTTAGATCAACTGTTTGGACATTTTTTTGTTTAAAGGCCAGTCCTACTTGACTACCAGTTTTATTGTGAAACCAATACACCACTCGTTTATCCGATGAACCGATAGCCAGATAATCTCCACTATCGATTGCAATACTATCGACACCAATTAGTAGACCTTTTTTGATGGGAACTACAAATCTAATGGTACAGTTGGTTAGCGACATGTTTTTATTGTCATCAGCTAACAGATAGACAATGGCCGGTATGTTAGTACTGTTGATGTTTGTACCGGTGCTGCCGGTGCTGCTGCTTAGGTTGATAATCCCATTGATGCCATTGACAGTACTACTACTACTACTATTACTACTATTTAGGCAAAAGTTTTTCAAGTTGTCTATCAAATATAATATTGTCCAAAAAAATTGTATTAATTTTAAAAATTAAAATACTATTTATAATTAATACATACATTCATTATAAGTTATGTTTTCTGTTTTCAGTGATAACAGATTTGTATCAATAGTCTCAATAGTCAACAACATTGATATCATAGCTATCATACCAATGATATATCTATTATTGACGACAATTAATGATACCATTATTGAAATTACAATTGTTTTTAACAACACAACAGGTTAAAAAAATTTAAAAAAAACAATTTTTTTAAAAAAAACAATTAGTTAATGTTAATAAGTTTTTAAACAAACAAATAAATATATTTCACTAATTTTAATAATTAAACATTTTCTTAAAGTAATGCAATAGAAAAGATACTGTATTATTTATAAATAAATAAATATATATATATTTATTTATATTTTCTATAAATAAAAAAAACTAATTCAAATCATAAACTAATTAAAAATATACATAATATTTAAGTACTATTTAAAAACAGTATATAATTTATATAAAATAAAACACTTATATATATATATATATTTTTTTATAAATATTTTATCTTTACTTATATTCTAATGTTATATAATAAATGTATTTAAATAATAAAAACGTTAAAAAAACGTTCAGGTAATATTAAGATATTAATTTTAAAACATGCTAAAAATAATAATTAATAATAATATTAATTATATAAAACAAAATTAGATAATAAAATTTATGCTAAGGTAAATGATATTTTATAAACAATTTTTCACAATAATTTTTATATTTTTATAAATAATTTTTGATAATTTATTTATTACTTAATTGTCATGAAAGAATATTTAAAAATTAATAATATTATTATTATTTGTAATATATATATGATATATATTATATATATTGAGTACATATCAATGTTGGCAGAGACAAAAATGTTTGGATAATACAAAGTGTATTATACATTATAATACAATGAAAAAATACATGACCAATTTGGTTTACAAAAAAAATTAGCGCCACCTAGTGCTAAAAGCATTGATATAAAAAATAATTTAATATTATTTTTTATTGAATTTTATTTATTATTTTAAATTATTTGTTTATTATAACTTAGAAATAACTATTATAATAATAATGCATTTTTGTAGAAATTATATTTTTACTAAATATTTTAAAGTAATTTTTAACATAATATACACTGTATATTAAAGTATAGTATATTAGTTTTAAAATTTTTATATAATACATGCATTACATTTGTATTTTACTGTAAACTTTTGTATTTTTTCAACCCTGGTACATAAACAATATTATATTTTAATTAAGTACACTGTATCAATAATAACTATAATCAATAAGATAATAGTATATAATTTAATATAAAGTATTAGTAAATTAAATCTAAATAAACATTATCGTAAATTGTTTAAAATTTATACCAAAAAAAATAAATAATAATCACAATAATATTGTGAATATTTACTAAAAATATTAAATATAAATAATTATTATTATTACAGATTAGATAATAACTAGTCATTAAAAAAGATACATTTTGATATTAATATTAAAAATTTTATTTATGCATAATTATTATAGAAATTTATTTCTAGAAAAATTAAATAATTATTTATAGTTTTTTTTTTGATACTAATAATAAATATTAGATATTTTAGTTGTTGTAAAAGGATATAATAAATAATGCAAAACTAATTGTTTATTTAAGTATAATAGTAATAGTAGTTTTTATAGAAAATTATTTGCTTATTATTATTAATAAAATGTAATTATATAACAAAAAAAATACAGACCTTAAAATATTTGTCAATTTTTTTTAATCTATTTGATAATTACAAAAATTGATATTTTTCTTGTTATTAAATAAAACATTTATTATTTTTTTATAGATAAGATAAATACTTTATTTTTTTTTGGTCATTGATATGGTATATATTAGATTAGATTATAATTTTTAATTATTAAATTAAATTTATAACTTATTACTTGTTTAAAGCTGATAAAAACCGGTTGAAACTGGTTTCTAAGTTAACCCTGATAATCTCAAAAAATAATTGCAATAATAATGTCTTAGTATTTACTTTTTTTTAAAAAATTATTAATACCCTATTTCAACATAATTTTCAACAATTACTTATAATTATTTAATATATAAAATTAATTAACAAATATATATATTGTATATATGAACAAACCCTAAGCATATATAAAACACTATTTTTTGTAATTTATAATAATTAAATAATAAGTTTGTTTTTTTTAATTAAATAATAAGTTTGTTTTTTTTAATTAAATAATAAGTTTGTTTTTTTAATTAAATAATAAGTTTGTTTTTTTAATTAAATAATAAGTTTGTTTTTTTTAATTAAATAATAAGTTTGTTTTTTTAATAAAATAAATAATTTTTGTTTTCAGCTAGCAAATATTGTCCAATGCTATCCAATGATGTATCGTCAATCAATTTATTGAAGAAAATGTCGGTAAATAAATCACTGGCAATTAATTATTTTATTTTTTAAATAATACTGTTTATAACATTATAAATTTAATAAAACAAATTATTATTAAATATTATTTGAATAATTTATTTAGAAAATTATTATTAAGTTTTTTTGTATATGAAAACACTTTAGTGATATTATATAATATTATATATTATATAATTAAATTATACAATAAATAATGTTTTTATAAAAACATTTATTTAATAATAAGTAGTTTTATTTGATTAAATGTTATATAAATTTATATATTATATATACATTTAGTATAAAGTATTACATCTAATTGAATGTCAATTTTTTTACTTTATATTATTTACTTATCATAATATTATTACATTGCATTGTAATCTATAGACAACAACAAATAAATACTTAATAAAAATTATTACCATGGTAAATTATTCTCCATTTATTTAACATTATGTTTGATAATATAAAAAAAAATAAGAAATACAACAAAATAAAAATCACAATATTTTGTTTATTAAACAATTTATTTATTTTTTTATTTATTAATAAAATAAATTATAAATCTATTTAATTCTGTATATTTAGTAAAATATTTTCAGTTAATATAATTTACAAAAATTTAATATAATAAAAAAAATTATGGTAAGTTTATTAATTATATTTATTTAAAAAAATTAATTAATATTATAAATTTATTATATTAAAAAAATAATAATTTTAAACAATTAAATACAGTAATAATTAAGTAATTTTTTTTATTAAATAAAAAAATTATATACAGGATAAACCATTATGGGATGACAACTACAACAATGATAACAATAGTACCGGTAATAGTAATCAACAACATATACTATATTATTATACAAGTGGACCGTTAGCTGAACAACATATAGCTAACGGTGCTATCTATTTGAGCATGATCACTAGACTATTTAATGGCTATATTAAGTTGACTACAATGGATCCGGAACAGCATACAAAATCGGAAATATTAACAAGGTACTACGGTAACAATAATAATAATAATACGGTACCGTATCTGTGCCGCAATAAAGCCGACTGGTTTGTACGTATAATGGCCAGTGAACTGGACATGGATAAGCTGACAGCACTGGGCAACGATATGTATGCCTATACGGATACTATCTATATCAGTGATAGGGATGTTTTTGAAAAAATCTAATTGATGCTTTTATTAAAAAAAATTTAAATAAATTTATTTAGTAGTCTGTATATATATATTTTGTAAATATCTATAAGTGATTTATAATTATAATTTTTTTGAAAAAATAAATAAAAACTACTATTACTACTAACTGTAATATTTTTTTATTCAAATTAATTATTTTAATTTATTGAAAATATACCTAGCTAAATTTTTTGATTAGAGTAAACATTTTTAACAGTGATATTTTTGTAAAGTTTTTTGTTGATGTTGTTGTAATTTTTTTTAATTAATAAAAATTAATATTGATTATTATTTTCAAAAAAAAAATTAATATTTTATATTTTTTTAAACAAACAAATATTTTTAAAAAATAATTAGCCATAAATTTTAGTTTATACTAATTATTTTTGTATTTTTTCAATAATGTTTTTAAAAACTGTCAAGTTAAATTACTATTATTATTTTATTAGATGAATAATTAATAATGTTATTAACTTAGGCACTTGCATTTTTCAATTTTAATTATTATTTTATTTATTTTGTCAATAAATAATTATGTTATCAATATATTAGTAAAATTATTTTATTTTATTTAAAATAAATTTGAATTATAATTTATATATTTATTTGTAGATCCAATGTGCTAGTATAGATTTTAAAAATAAAAATCACTACTATTATTCTCTAATATATCCGGGTACAATTTTGTTGGTACACCTAATCTGATTCGACCCGGGTCTCAATGGTGTCATATATACACCCCTTGGGTACTGATAATAATAATAATAACATTAAGTTTAGTTTATAACAAAAATGATATTTTAATTTTTTCACTAACTATTTTTTTTAAAAAAACTGTCAAGTTAAATTACTACAATTATTTTATTAGATCAATAATTAATAATGTTACTAAAGTAGGTAGCTCTGTAGCCCCATTATTTTTTTTTTAAAATAAATATTGATAGATTTCTATTAATTTTGTTATTATTATATTACTAAAAATTATTTTATTAATGAATTATAATTAATATATATATTTTTTAAGAATATTTATTTTAGATGAAAATTATTTTTAACTGTCAAAACTGCATAACTACATATAATATAAACTAAATACTAAATTATATTATTAATAATATAAAGTTTAGTTTTGTATCAAAAATAATATTTTATTTTTTCACTAACTATTAAAATAAACTGTGATGTTAAATTATTATTTTTTTTATTAGATCAATAATTAATAATGTTATTAACTTAGCTGAACTGCGTTTATCGTTTTTAATTTTTTATTTATTTATAAATATTAATAAATTTCTATTAATTTTGTCAATATATAATTATGTTATCAATATATTAGTAAAATAATTTTTTTAGATTAAAATTATTTTGATTGCCAAAACTTTAATATCACATATATTATAAACTAAATACTAAATAAAATTAATAAAAAATATTTTTTTTAAATTTATTAATTTACAATATTATTTTTTAGTTATTGAATTTTAACAGAAAAATTTTACAGTTTAATAAACAAAATATTATATAAAATTATTTATCCTAATTTAGACATGACCCAATTTAATTATAACATGATCAGTGTAACAATATAAATTTCTATTTATACAACTAAATTTTTGTAGATCCAATGTGCTAGTATAGATTTTAAAATAAAAATCACTACTATTATCTTTAATATAGCCGGGTACATTTTTGTTGGTACGCCTAATCTGATCCGACCCGGGTCTCAATGGTGTCATATATACACCCCTTGGGTACTGACCGTATGTATTACTGGGCCGTATATAACCCGATTCAATGATCTGTTGGGCCGATTCAACACTTGTATAGTGATATAGTTTATCTGGTAGTGGTGTCGACACCAATGTATTATTATTATTATTATTATTGTTATTGTTGTTGTTGTCCTAAATTAAAAAATAATATTTTATAAGTAAAGTTAAAAAATAATATTTTATAAGTAAAATTAGAAAATAATATTTTATAATTAAATAAATAAAAATATTAATTTTATATTTAAGTGAGAAATTTTTTACTAAAAAATGTTGATTTAGATTAAATTTGATAAAATAATCAAAAAATAATATTTTTATTTTTAAATAGTCATGTTAAACATACCATAATTTTTCAATAAGTTTTATTATTGCTTATTGTTGTTATACCGTAATAAATTTACTAATAATTATTATTGTATTTTATTCAATAATAATAATATTATTAATAAATAAAATTAAACTTTTATAGCGCAAAATACTACACACTATGTAATGAAATAGATTTTTTTGTTATTGAAATAATATGTTTTTAAATATTATATTTTATCTAACATTAAAATTACAACATTAATAATACAGTTATATAAACTATTAAATAATCTGATATTAAATTTTTTTATAGTAAAAGTATAGTAAAACATAATAAATGACTCTTTTTAAAAAAATAACTTTATCTATAATATACTGTACATATAAATGTTAACTATCATAAAAAGTTATCACTTATTAGTTATTAAATTAAATTAAAACATTTTATATATAGATATTTTTTAATTTATAGTTTATTCAAAATTATATATTAATATTGATTGAATTACTATCAATATATATATATATATATAATAGTTATTATGTTTAAATTTTAATAAATTAGTTTTTTTTGTTAAATAAAATTATTTACTAAAAAAGATAACGTTTCTAAAAAAACATATGACATTTTAGTAGACATTTATAATATTATATTAATATTGAAATATATATAAATGATATTAAAAAACATATATTAAAATAACAAATGATAATTATTAATATTGTTTAAAATAATAGTCAATAGCAATAGTAATATAAAGTAATATGAGATAAGATTAGAGTTGGCAAAAAAGAGAAATTTATAAAGTAATAGAGAAATTTCTAGAAAGTTTCTAAAAGAAATTTCTATTTATGGGATCCCCATGTTTAATTTTGTTTTCTCGATATTTGTTATCTTTAACATTGTTTTTATAAGTAATATTTAAATATTAGTATTAGTATTTTAATTATTAATTAAAGTAAAAAAAATTTATTTATTTAATTATATTAAACTATGATATAATAAAATGGTGAATAAAATTTTACAAAACTGATTATTATTAAATAATTATAATTATTTATATAGGTATCCCATTTGTATAATATAGTATTATACAGTAATCTACATTATATAGTATAATATTATATGTCTCATTAATATATTTATATTTTTACAATATCTATAGATATGCTGATCCTATAGTATAACAAAAAAGTTAAATTTCTATAGAAATTTATTCCTGAGAAACTCTAGAAACTTTCTCATGGAAATTTATTAGAAACTTTCTATTTGCCCATCTCTAGATAAGATATACAAATAACAAAAATAATTTATATATTACTTAATAAATACTGTTTTCAATGCAATCAGCAATACTATCAGCTCATAGGCCAATCATAAAAAATTATATCCTTTTAACACATAATTTAATAATAATATATATTATAATATACTAGTAATAAATATACATGTACTAATACTATCAACAATTGCCTGTATAACAAAATTATTGACAATTATTTTTTTTTGATTTGATTTAATAGGAAAAATTTGTTAACATTGAAAACTATATGAATTTCATTAGCATTTAATCAACAACAACAAAAAACATAAACATTAATTATATTTTTATTAAAAATAAAACATTATAATTAGATTATTTTTAAATTTATTTATAACACTAAATGCATTTAATGCTCATATATTTTTCTAACAAAAAAAATTAATATAAAATTATTATTTATTTTAAAAAAAAATATTATTAGTGTTGTTAATATAGATTTGTTTTAATTAAAATAATAATAAAAATGCCCGGGTACGATTGTAGCCGATTTGTTGGTTCAACAAAACAACAATTAGATGAACTCCTATGCGGCATATGTCGGGAAATTGTATGCCAACCGATAGTCGTCCAGTGCTGTCAACAATTGTTTTGTACGGACTGTATAAAGGAATGGTTAGACAAACAGACTACCTGTCCGTATGATCGCAAACAGTTAACTAGCGAACAGTTAACTTTGCCGCCCAGGTATTTAAGGTTTTAAATTTTGGTTGTTTTTTTGTTTTATGTATTATATATATATATATATATATGTATTTGTTGTTTAGTATTTTATTATTAATGACCCCTAATAGGAACCCCCCCCCCTTATAGTCTACCTGTCCCTCTAATACCTATCAATTTAATCAATTAATAAAAATTTCAAACAACTTATTACATGTCATAAGTGTTATAAAATATTAGACTAATAAAAAAATTGTTATCAAATTAACTAATATATATATATATATATATATATATATATATATATACAGTAATAATAGCATATAAATTGTATTGTTAAAAATTATATTCAATTTATTATTATTATTATTATTAAGTATAAATTAATACATTATTAGATATAACTATAAGTCCAATGGCCAGTCTATTGTATAAATTATTTTAGTATTTAATTAAAAAAAATTACAATAAAAAACGTACAATTATTAAATTAACATTTTTTAAAACTAAATATCTTATATATATATATTATGCATAAAGCAATCAATAATGTTATAGCACCCGGTGGGGTGGGGTGGGGGGGGGGTTAGAAACTTATATTTCAATAGATGAAATAGTTTTTTACATTAAAATGTTATAATTATTTTTTAAATTTTTTAAATTTTTTAAATTTTTGTTTTATTTATTAAACAAACAAAAAATATTCTAGAATTTTAGTGAATTTGTTGTCAAATTTGAAAATCAAATGCGATTTCTCAGACAAAGGCTGTCCACTGGTAACCACTGTCCAACTGTTGGCCGAACACACGGCTAACTGTCCCTATAATGTACAACAATGTCGCCGATGTCTGTCCAACTATACTACCGGTGCTCAACAACCGTCTGAACACAACTGTCTGAAATCGATGACCGAATTGAATCATAAAACTAATGCCGAAATAAATATATTGATGAATATTATTGAAAATCTATCGAAATGTAATTTACGGGAAATTACTGATAATGAGGTAAATTTAATTTAATTTAATTAATTAATATAAAAATTGATTAAATTAACTAATTAATTAATTAAAAAACTAAATTAACCAATTAATAATTAAAAAAATAGATTAAATTAACTAATTAATAATTTAAAAATAGATTTAATTAATTAATTAATTAAAAAACAATTAACTAATTAATTAATTAACAAATTAATAAATTAACAAATTAATTAATTAAAAAACTAAATTAAACAATTAATTTATTAAAAAACTAAATTAACTAATTAATTAATTTCAAAAAAAATAAATTAACTAATTAGTTTATAATATTACACTTAATTAATACTAAAAATAAAAATAAAAATTAATTGTTTATTTCTTATTTTAAAAAAAATATTATTACTATTTAGCTAAGTGACGATGTTATTCTAGCCAATCATATTATTCAAAAGAAATTGAGAAAACTTATGGGAACTTTGGGAACAGTCGGGAAATTGTTGGAACTTATTGATGGACGTGTATTAAAGCTAATATGCGATGATGTTATGATGGCCGCTTGGGGTACACTATGGAATATTACTGGTAACTTACCTAGTACAGTATATATAATTTTATATAGTTTTTTTTAAATATATTTTTTTAAAAAACAAAATATTTTTAACTAGATGAAAATGAATCTAATTGTCAACGATTTATAACAAACAATGGCCTGGATAATTTTCTAGCATGTAGACAATCGTTTCCAGATAATCAGGGTAATATTTTCAACAACAATAAAAAACAAAACTATTTGTATATAAATAAATACAATATTTTTTTAAAAAAAATATATAATAATTTGTTGGTTGTTGTAAATATTTTTATTAACTAAATTTATATATATATATATAAAATATTTTTTTTGTAAATTTAATAGACTTATTATCCCGAATGATGGGTGTGTTGGCCAATGTGGCCGAAAGTAGAAAACTTCGACCAAAATTGTTGACCGAAAACTATTTGGACATATTTTTGCAACTATTGGCCACTAATACTACTACTACTACTACTACTACTACTACTACTACTAGTAGTAGTAGTAGTAGTAGTAATAGTAGTAGTGATGGTATGGATATTAGTATCAGTTTTATGTCAGCCAGTATACTATCAAATATTGGTATTATATATTTTTATTTATTTTAATATTTTAATACATAATAATAATTATTATTATAAAACAGTTAGTGATGACCCGGGTGTTTGGTCACAACATTTACCTGTAAACTATGACCGCGATCATATTGTCTATAAACTGGACCGGGCTATTGGCCAATGGAAAATCAATACCAATAAGCAATTAGTGAATTACAAGTTTGTTGTTTAAACAGTATTATTATTTTTTATCAATAATAATAATAATAATATTTTAATAAATTATTAATTTTATAAATTACTAGTTCATTGGCACCCATAATAAGTCTATTGAAAGATAGTGTACCCAATGATGCCAAGTATTGGCCGGTTTGGACATTGGCTAACTTGACTAGAATTAAATGTATAGTTTTTTTAGTTAAGCAAAAAATAATTTAAATTATTATTAATAATATATATATATATATATATATATATAGATTTAATTAATAATTTTTTTATTTAATTTAGCCAAAAAATATTGTCCAATGCTATTACGTGACGGTGGAGTTAGACTATTGAGGAAACTGTCAGTTAATAAATCATTGTCAATACATATCCGTGATTTATCCCGACTAACACTCTATCAATACTATAAATACCGGGAATCCCAGTCATTGTCCGATTTGGAGGATTCATCCGATATGGATATACCCGTAGAGTTTGGTCTATACTTTAAACAACATGAGTCCGATGATGATAATGATAGTGATGAGGACAGCAGTGATGATAATAATGATAATTAAGTTAATGTTAATAATTTTAAATATTATTTTTTATATATATATATATAAAGTTTTTAATTACTAATTATATAAATGTTTTTTTTGCTAATCATATAAGTATTTGTAAAGTTATATATTTATATCAAATATTAATGATTGATTAGTTGGTAATATTTACTTTTTTTTATTAAACTTGATTACATTTTGTTTAAACAATATTTTTAAAGTATATTTGATATTTTTTTTTAAAAAAATTTAATTAAACTGTAATTTTATACATAAAACTAATTAAATTATTTACAATATAATCTTAAAATATTAATATTAGTGATATCTCAGCACATATATATTTTTTATATAATTAAATATTATTAAAAATAATTATTTAGATAATATAGTTAACTAAAATAAAGTTAAAGTTTTTTTATTATTATTTTTTTACTAATCATATGTTTTTTATTACTGAAATTTATTTTATAGAAAATATTTATATATAAACAACATTTTAAAAAAATATTTAATATTTTACAAACAAACAAAAAAATCTAATTAAACTGTAATTTTAAACATAAAACTAAATAAATTATTTACATTATAATCTTTAAAATATTAATTATAGGTTTTATGGTTTTTGCGATTATATTTTTTATAAATATTTTATAATTAATATAATTAATTAATTAATTAAGTTTTTTATATACATAATAATAATAAACAATAATTTATTTGTATTTTTTAAAATATATATACAGTATATTTATCTTTATTATAACAAAACTAACAAATATTTGTTTGATTTTAAAAATAGACTAACATTTAAACTATTATATAAAATATTTTGTTTTAGATTTTATTTGTTGTGATTATATCATATTTACAAATATTTATTTTTCTTAACAGCAATTAAATTTTTTTCGACCTATATTTTGTTGTCTCCTATTATTATCTCCTAAGACGACTGTCCCGGCGGTCGAAATGGATATATCTGTTAGCAATTGTTCCCGGCTTTTGGTCACCATATGGTTATCGCAAATAATATCGACTAATCTATCAAACACTTTGTCGACATTGATATTATGTTTGACTGATGTTTCATAGAAATCCAGTTTCAACTTATCGGCCAATTGTCGGCCCATTTCATAGCTGATCACCCGTTGCTTCGGCTGCTGTTTATGTTGGTTATCATCATAATCACCACTGATATCACATTTATTGCCAACCAGTACTACCTGTGCCCTATCGGGTGCATTATCACTGAATAATTGAAGCCATTGTTCAATCATATCAAACGACTCTTGATCTGACACGTCATACATTAGTAGACAACCGGCCGCTTCACGAAACAATGAACTGATAAGCGTACGGAACCTTTCCCTGACCGGCCGTATCCCAGATCTGCAAACGTATTATACGTTTGTTGTTGTTGTCTGACTTTTGTCGGATAATTGTTTTTAATGTCAAATCCATGCCTATAGTAGGCATAGTATGTTCATAGAACAGGTGGTCAACGTATCGGTAGATAAATCCTGACTTTCCGACTAACATATTGCCGATTATTGAAATTAATAAATCATTGCCAATACATATAAGACATTTATCGCGACTAACACTCTATCAATATAAAAAATATCGGGAATCGGATTCACTGTCCGATTTGGAGGACTCATCCGATATGGATATACCCGTAGAGTTTGGTCTATACTTTAAACAACATGAGTCCGATGATGATAGTGATAGTGATGAGGACAGTAATGATTATAATGATAATTAAGTTAATGTTAATAATTATATTTATATATTTACTAATCATTTAAGTTTATTTTGTTGTTGAATAAAATTAAATTTTATATATAAACAACAATTTTTAAAAATTATATTTGATATTTTTTAAAACAAAAATCTAATTAAACTGTAATTTTTAAACATAATACTAAATAAATGATTTAAATTATAATCTTAAAATAATAAATATTAGGTGAAATGTTTTTTAACAATTAAATTTTTTATTATATTTCAATATTATAATTAATATAATTAAAATAAAGTTGTTATTATTATTATTAATTAATAAAATTTAATTAAATATATAAGACTAAAAATTTTAAAATAAATAAATATTTATTAAAAACTATTGTTTACAAATCTATCGTATGATCGATCGGTCGATGCAATTGTCATATGGTTTTGTTGTATCCAAAGGTTACAGGTTTTTAGTTATTGAACTAAATATTCAACAATAATTACTTATTATTATTATTATTATTTATTATATAATATATTTTATACAAATAATTTTTTTAATATAAATATCGTACATACCATTAGTTAACTTATAAGTATATAATCAATAATACTGTATGTCATACTGTATTAAATAAAACATTTTTAAAAAAATTATAATAATATTATTAAATAAAATATTTTCAACTAAAACAAAATTATATACTGTCCTAAAAATAACAAATTATAAACAGTTAAAATTGATAATTACTATACAATAAAAGTATAGATTTATAAGGTATAAAAGTTATTAAAAAAAGTCATAAATTATTACTATTTTTTAAATAATGCAATAATTATTATTAAATTTATGATAAAATATACAAATAGGGTAGAGGGGTGAGTGTTATCATAAGGAATACACTTAGGTTTACGTTTGCGATTTCCTTAAGTTAAGTATAGAGTAGCGTTACTACAAAATATTTTGATTTACGCAAACGTAACTCTTTTTTGTAGTGATAATAATACAGTGTTTTATTAAATTAAGTATAAATATTTTAAACTATAAAATAAACATTATTATCAATGTTAAAGTATAGCTAAAGTTGGGTTAAAGCTATCCTAACTTTACACCTAACTCTAGCACTAACTTGTTTTCTTAACACACTTTTCACCTAAAAACCAGTTTTGTATAATTAAGTCCTCTCCTAACTTACCCGTAAACCTAACTTGCTAAAATATTTTATAACACAGGATTTCACTTAAGTGAGGAGTTAAGTGCACGCAAGTTACGAATCTTAGTTGATAACACGCCGCCCAGAATCCTGTCTACTATACCCAACAAACATTACAATTTTTAGAAAAATAATTTATTAAAAACTTTATTAAAATTTTTTGATGATAAATAAAATTTAATTAATTTTTATTAAAAAAAACTGTTAACAACTTATATTATATTAATTTATATTCATACTATATATATATATATATATATATACTGTTTTGACTTTAATATCTGTATATAAATTAATGTAAAATACTAACAATGCTATAAAGTCTAACTTTATAAATTGACAAAATCACTAAAAGGGTTGCCAACTATGTAGGTGTTTAGAGTAAAAAAATAATGTAATGCAAAATAAATTTAAATGTATTATTAATATAATATATTAATATAGATGAGAAAAATAATATAAAAAATATAATAATTTATAAATAAAATTAAATAAATTGTTTTATATTATAAAAATTAATATTAAACATTTAAATAACTTGTAAATACAAATTAATTTTAATAATATCTCTACAATTATATAATTTTGAAATGTTTATGTTTTTCATAATTTTACAAACATGAAAATAAAAATATTCATGATTTTTAAAAATTAAATTAAAAATACTTAAAAATTTATTAACTAATATGTATAATAAACAAAGTTTATGACCAGCTATATATTTTAATATAATTTTAAAATATATAAATTAACTTTGGATAACATTAGTTTTTTTATTTATAATTTTCAATAATATACTTTATATGTTATATTATCTTATTGTTATTTATATTACTTAATGTAAATTTTATTTATTAAATTTCTAATTTATTTTTTTTAAATTTATTGTATTTTTGTTTTATTTAATAAAAAACTATATATTTATATGTTTTCGTTTTTTTTTGTACATTTGGTAATCCTACTTGTGATGTCACACTATTATCGGTACCTATACTAATTAGTTTCCATTAAATTAATATCCATACCTACTGTACTGGCGGCTGATATTTTGAACATTCAGTTCAGTGTATCGGTAGATAAATGCCGACACTTTCCGACCGATGAATTACAGATTACCACTAATTTCAATAATAAGTAATAGCTGTTTAGGTCACAACTCTCCCGTCAATAGTCTTATCCTGTATACTACGGCCAATAATTTTCGGTGTTTTTGCGGTAACCGGTATTGTTGTTGTTGTTGATGATGTCCTCCTGTTTTGTTGCCGGCGGCGGACAGGTTCGGGTGATTGAGTATTGTTACCCTTGAATTTGAACATTTAGTTTATATTTAGTACATATAATAATGTTGTTAAACTTTTCAGTTAAAATAAACAGTTATTTTATTTATAACCATTAAGTAAATTAATTTTAAAAATAATTATATTCAATACAATGATATTAATACTTAATAATATATTAATAAATGTTTAGAAAATTAATAATTAATAATTACTATGAACTAAAAATTTTAGTGTTAATGTTTTATAATAATTTAATCTATTTTTAAATATAAATAGAGTATTTTTATAAATGTAATTAAACTAAAATAATAAAAATATTTTTGGTGTAATTTCTAAATATTATAGTATTGTAAAATAAAATAAAAATCTTTTAATTTAGAGTTTAAACATCAAAATATCTAATTAAATAATAATAATTATCTGAAATTAGAATATTAAATAATATTAATTAAGGAAATTAATAAACAGTTATTTTATTTAATCTATTTATTATTGATAATTAATAATAAATTATTTTACTTCTAGATATAAATAACTATTAAATTTTTAACTATTTAATAAACAATAATACTAAAATAATTAGATTATAATATATAATGTACAAACAGTAATACAACATAATTCAATTAAAATTAACATAAAATTATCAAAATATTTTTTATTAAAATATGCTAAGTCTAACAAGTTAAATAATTTATATATTTAAAATTTTATAAAAAAAATAAAAAATATAATTTAAGTATCTTATCTTATAAAAATAAATTAAGTAAATATATAACAAAGTCTGCATTGAATCATTACAAACAGCAGTTAATATTTTATTTAATTGTAAATATAATTAATTATTGAGAAAAATAAATTATTGCAAAAAACTATTGATTAAATTTTTGTTATATTTATAACAAATAAACTAATGTCTAATATAAGTATAATAATATATAGTATAAGTGCAAATCAGATATCTATTATTATAAATATATTAATAATTTCAATTGTTATTCAATTAATTTTATTAAAATAAATATAATAATTGTTAATAATGAAATTCATTAATCAATAACTAAGACAATTGGTTATTATTATAAAAATACTTAAATCGAATCATTAAAAAATGATAATAAAATGATATATATAAACGGCTAACTTTATAGAATAAAAAATTAGTTTATTTTTTTAAAATAAAGTATGGAAGACAACATTCATAAAATCAATTTGTTTGCTAAAGCAAATGCTGATTATGAATATGATTGTAATTTTAAAGTAAAATATCTTGAACCGTTAACATTGTTATACTATTATGAAAATGAAAACTATTATTATTGTCAATCTCGTTTAACAAAAAAAGAAGGTTATATACCGATTGATAAGTGCGATGTACAAAACGAAAATCAACTCAATCAAGCTTATCAAGATCATCAAGCTCAACAAACTCATCAAGCTCTATCATCATTCATAATGCCTGATCAAAATAATTATAATAAACAGATATCATTACACAGAAAATCGCTATCAATTGATTCAGTTGATACTTTTTCTACAGTATCAGATGATTCAAACTATGAAAACGATAGAAACAATCGTTGGAGAGAGAGAGAGAGAGAGCAATTGAATATTCCGAAATTTTCAGCATCGCCAGATAAAATGCATATCTATAACTGGATTGTCTTGTACGAACGATTTGTTAAAACCGATTCGAAAAGAGTTGATGAGCTACAATATTATGTCGAAGGCACTAGACTGAGAACATGGATAGTACAAGAATTCTATTCGACAAAACGACAATACGATTGGGAAACTGTTCGCGAAAAGTTATTGTATGAATTTGGTGGAAACGAACGACCAATTGTTTTAAGCTGTTAATTATTTATATAATTCTCAATTTGATTCAGTTGAAAATTATTACAGAACCAAAAGTTGCCTATCTGAATCAAAACAAAAACTAACACAAGCAGATATCGTATCGTTGTTGATACAGGGTATGCCGCAACACATTCAGCCATACTTCAAAATAGCACTTGGTAAACAATGCCATGATCCAGGTAGATGGTTTGATTGTGCATTGGAAATTGAAAAGTATACCCAGTTGTCAGGTAAAACAGTAAAATTTGCTGGAAAACAACATATAAAAATATTGACAACTCCATCGTTATTAAGAAAGAAACCATTTTTATCGAGTAATACAAATTTATCGCAAATAACTTACAGTAATAATAATAATAATAATAATGATTTCTAAATATATAAATCTTAACCATAAATTATCATAATTTTAAAAATGATTGAATTTTTTCAATATTTGATACTATTATAAAATTTATAAAAAAAATTATATTTAAATAAAACAATTGCTTTTTAGAAATAACTTAATAACAAATATAATAAATATAACAGTAATACATATTTTTATTTTATTTATATATATATAATCTTAAATACTAAACTATTATTTAATATTTTTTTGTTTTTGACTTATTTATCTCATTATATATATACTTACTATGTAGGTGCAATAATTTCAAATATATTTATTTTATAAAAATTTATCTAATATTAAAATTATAAAATAATAATACAGTTATTTTAATAATATAGATTTATTTTACTTTCTAATATGTATTTTGTAAGCAATAATAAATATTGATATATCAAATAAATGATAATTATTAATACTTTTTATAGTTATAATATGAGAAAGAGAGAGAGAGAGAGAGAGAGAGAGAGAGAGAGAGAGAGAGAGAGAGAGAGAGAGAGAGATAATAATAAACTACTTAGAAAATAATTATTAAATAAATCAATAATTTCATATCATAGACATGTATATAGAAATATATTTTTTATTTATTAATAATTAATTTACAATAATTATTAGTTTTTATTATACATATTATTTAATTTATTAATATATATATAAATAATACATACCTACCATTTAAAATACTTTTTTTTAAAAATATGTTTGCAATTAAACTGTACTATATTATTATATAAATATTATTAAGACATAATAAAGTTTATATAAATTTTATAAATATTTAATAACGTAATGCACACACACACACACACATAGAAAAAAATAATGATAAAAAAATATTTAAAAACATTTATTTTAAACAAACAAAATAATATTATTTAATATTGATAATTTTAATCTATCTATTTTCAAAAAAAATTGAAGTTTTGTTTTCTGAAATCTATACGAGCCTTTTGTGTGTGTGTATGTATGTGTGTGTGTGTGTGTGTGTGTGTGTGTGTGTGTGTGTGTGTGTGTGTGTGTGTGTGTGTGTGTGTCTGTAGCATTTCATTTTGCAAATTCTGACTTCAGATTCGGTTAGAGGACTATTAATAATCTATTGAAAAGTTGTATTAAAATTTTCTCTTCGGGAACATAGAAAAAATGGCGGCCAAAATAAAAAAATTTTAAGAAAATTTTTTTTAAGTATAGATTTGAATAAAGCATCAAAAACAAGCATAAGAAATATGCATTAAAATTTTGATATCTCTTCGAGAACATAGAGAAAATGGCGGATAAAGTAAAAAATTTAGGTAAAAATTTTGACGTTTAGATTATCGTTTATATAGAGCATCAAGAATACTATATAATAAATCAGCATTATTTTTTATTTATTCAAAAAATGGCGGCAAATGTATAAACAAAATTTTAGGAAATTTTTAACGTTTAGAATTGTATAGATAACCAAAAATAATGTATAATATATCAAAATTAATTTATTATTTAAAAGTATCATACTGTCATACTGAGTCATTTGATACCCTACATGACTATAGTTGAGTATATTTTGACTTTATCATATTATATGTATTATACTATATAGCCGCTATAATTATACAAACTAATGGTTTTCAATGATAATCAAGTTTTTTTCTGAAAATGCTTTTTAGCATTCTTAACTGGTTTAGTATTATAAAAGATAATATAAAATAAGAAAATATGTTTATGAAAAATATTATATTATGCCATTAATACTACAAAAATTAAATAAATTGATAATTACTATGCAATAAAATACGTGATATATATACAGTATATTATAAAACAGATATTATTTAAATGATATAAAAATTTATAGTCTATACCAAACAAATAATTCAAGTAATTTAATAATAACTATTATGCTATAAAAAAAATATATACACGCATTTAATATTTTGTTTATTGTTTAAATTAATATGAGTTAATAACTATAAAATAATTTTTTAAAAAATTTTTAAGTTAGTTAAAAGTTAAAAATTCAATGCCCGGATACGATTGTAAACGATTTGTTGATAAAACACAAAAACAACAATTAGATGAACTAATGTGCGGTATATGTAAGTCAATTGTATGCCAACCGATAGTCGTCCAGTGCTGTCAACAAGCATTTTGTACGGACTGTATAAAGGAATGGTTAGTCAAACAGACTACCTGTCCCTACGATCGCAAACAGTTAACTATCGAACAGCTAAGTTCACCGCCCAGGTAATGGTCACCGACTGTTTATTATGTATTAAATGGATATACTATATATATATAATTAATTAATTTTTAAGTATTATCAATAACCTGTTCACTATCTACCTGTTCCCTGTCTACCTGTCCCTTATTACTACCTTATTATAGTAAATCGCTATGAAATTAGTAATAATGGCAAACAATAAAGTTTAATAAAATACTTGACTTTATTACATAAACAAAACTAAAAAATAGTATCAATTTATTATACAATTATTATAAATATAATAGCATTTTTAATTGCATAGTGTTTAAAGTTATATATTTAATTTTTTTTAATTATTATTATTTATTAAATTTATTGATAATTAAAAAGCTAATGGTTTAATCTACTATTTAAATAATTTGATAAGTTTATTAATTTAATGATTTTTTTACCATTAAAAACATACAGTATAATTATTAAATTAAAAATTTTTAAATTAGTATTTATATATATATATATATATATATATATATATATATATAAAGCTCATCAAATAATTTTATAGCACCCATGATAGAGGGGGGTATATGTTTCAATAGATTTTAAATAGTTTAAATTTTTAAATAATTTTTTTAAATATATTTTTTATTTAAAAAATAAAATATTATATAGAATTTTAGTGAATTTGTTGTCAAATTTGAAAATCAAATGCGATTTCTGGGACAAAGGTTGTCCAGTGATAACCACTGTTCAACAGTTGACGGAACATACGGCTAACTGTCCCCATAATGTACAACAATGTCCCCAATGTCTGTGCAACTATACTACCGGTGCTCGACAACCGTTTGAACACAACTGTCTGAAATCGATGACCGAATTGAATCATAAAACTAATGCCGAAATATTAATGTTAATGAATATTATGGAAAATCTATCGCAATGTAATTTACGGGAAACTTTCGACGATGATGAGGTAAAATATAATGTAATTAATTAATTAATTTTTTTTATAAAAAAAAATATTACACTTAATTATTACTGGGAGGGTGGTGTGGTTGAAACAAACATAAAAATTAACTGTCTATTTTTCCAACAACAACAAAAAAATCAAACAAATCTATTTAGTTTAGTGATAACGATATACTAGTAATCAATTATTTTCTCAAAATAAAATTGAGAAAATTTATGGGAACTTTGGGAATAGTTAGCAAATTGTTGCATCTAATTGATAGACGTGTACTACAGCTCCTATGCGATGATGTTATGCTAACAGCTTGGAGTATACTATGGAATATTACAGGTAATTTAACTAATATATAATTTTTATATATATTTATAGTTTTTTTTAAATATATTTTTTTTATAAAAAAAAATATTTTTTATAGATAAAGATCTAGTATATATATATAAATTATATATTTTTGTTAATAAAAAATAATCTATAAATTTAATTATAATATACTATAAAATTATATATATATATATATTGGAAAATATTTTATTTATATATTTTTTTTTTAAAAAATAGATGAAAATAAATCTAATTGTCAACAATTTATAACAAACAATGGCCTGGATAATTTTCTAGCATGTAGACAATCGTTTTCAGATAATCAGGGTAATTTTTTTTATAAAAAAAATAAATTCTACAGCTTATGTATATAAATATAAAAATACAGTATTTTTAAAAAATTTTGTTATTATTTTAAATATTATACACATATAACACCCTAAATAAAAAGTTAATAATATTTACAACAAAAATAAAAATAATGTATTTATATGATAGTAATAGAGTTATATTACTATCATATAAATACATTGTTTTCATTTTTGTTGTAAATATTATTAGCTTTTTATTTATACAGGTAATTGTAAATAATAATATAAAATACTGTATATATATATATTTGATTGTAAATTTTAATAGACTTAATATCCCGAATGATGGGTGTATTGGCCAATGTAGCCGAATGTAGTCAACTTCGATCAAAATTATTAACCGAAAACTATTTGGACATATTTTTGCAACTATTGGCCACTAGTAGTGATGGTATGGATATTGGTATCAGTTTTATGTCAGCCGGTATACTAACAAATATTGGTATAATTTTTTATTTTTATAGTTATATATATATATACTGTATATATATAAATGAAAAACATTTTTAATTAGTGATATTATTATTATCATTAACCAGTTAGTGATGGTCCCGATGTTTGGTCACAACAATTACCTGTAAACTATGGACGCGATCATATTGTCTATCAATTGTACCTGGCTATTGGCCAATGGAAAATCAATACCAATAAACAATTGATGAATTACAAGTCAATTAATTATTATTATTATTATTATTACAGTATATTATAATAATTATTAATATTTCTATTACTAATTAAATTAATAGTTCATTGGTTCCCATAATAAGTCTATTGAAAGATAGTGTACCCAATGATGCCAAGTATTGGCCGGTTTGGACATTGGCTAACTTGACTAGAATTAAAGGTAAGGGTTTTTTTAGTTAATAATAATAATAATTGTAGTTTAACTATATATTATTCAAATATATTTACCTAATTAATTATTATATTTATTTATATATATATATATATATAATTAGCCAACAAATATTGTCCGATGCTATTACATGATAAAGGTGTCAAACAATTGCGAAAACTTGCAGTTAATAAATCATTGTCAATACATATCCGTGATTTATCCCGACTAACACTCTATCAATACTATAAATATCGTGAATCCCAGTCATTGTCCGATTTGGAGGATTCATCCGATATGGATATACCCGTAGAGTTTGGTCTATACTTTAAACAACATGAGTCCGATGATGATAGTGATAGTGATGAGGACAGCAGTGATGATAATAATGATAATTAAGTTGATATTAAAAATTTGATATTAAATTTTTTTTTTGAAATAATAATTATATATTTTTACTAATGATATTAGTTTTAGTTACTAAAGTTTTTTTTTAAATCAAATTTATATCAAATATTAACTAATAACTTTGATAATATTTACTTTATTAACCATGATTATTATTATTTTTTATTTAAACAACATTTTTAAAGTATATTTGATATTTATACGAAAAAAAACTCTAATTTAAACTGAAATCTTATACATAAACTAAATAAATTATTTACATTATAATCTTTAAAATATTAATATTAGCAAATTATTATTATTTAATAAAATTATCTAAAAAACAGTTTATATTAAAATACAGTTTATATATATATACATATATACTATATTTATCTTATATTACCAGTAATTTATTTAATAAAATATGTGTGTTTACAGTACTATAAATATTCTGTTTATTTTTAAAAAGTTTATTTTAAATGATAAAAATAAGTTTTCAAAATTTTTAATAATACAAATTTTTTCGATAAATAAAATTTAATTAATTTAAATATATATAACTATATTTAACTTATTAGTTTTAGAAAACCATTAGCAACTAATATATATATATATATATATATATATATATATATAGATTACTAGTATATATATAGTGAAAATATATATATAGTTATAATAATTATCTAATAATACTAATAATATTAGATGTTATTACTATTATTATTATTTTTAATAAATATATAACAATACAGTAATTAGAATTGAACCTTGAAAAGTTGATAATGTTTATTTTTTTAAAATTTAACAATTATTAATTAATTATTTACAACATGATGATTTTTTCGGCTTTTATTATCGCTATTATTATTATTATTATTATTATTATTATTAATACTTAAGATTATAGTCTCTGTTAGCAATTGTGTGGTCAAACTTGTTGTCATCAGTTTTGCCAATATATCGGCCAACATATCATCACATATCAGATCGACTAACCTATCAAACACATTGTCGACATTGATATTATCTTTGGCTGACGTCTCATAGAAATCCAGTTCCAACTTATCGGCCAATTGTTGGCCCATTTCATAGCTGATCACCCGATGCTGCTTCGGCTGGTGGTATTGTCGGTGTTGGCTATCATTATCATCATAACCATCACCACCACCACTGATATCACATTTATTGCCAACCAGTACTACCGGTGCTCCGTCGGGTGCAATATTTCTGAATACTTCCAACCATTGTTCAATACACTGAAACGATTGTCTATCGGAAACGTCATACATTAGTAGACAACCGTTTGCTTTACGAAAGTATGAACTGATAAGCGTACGGAAGCTGTCCTGACCGGCCATATCCCAGATCTCCAAACGTAATCGTCTATTGAGACCGTCGTCCACCAGCTGTCTGTCGATTGTTTTGACTCTTAAATCTACACCTACTGTAGGAATCGTAGTACATATGTTGAACGTGTAGTCAGTGTATCGGTAGATAAATGCCGACTTTCCGACTGACGAATTGCCGATTACCAGTAGTTTCAATGATAAGTCATAGTCGTTGTCGTCCGCAGAGTTGTTGGTCACAACTCCTCTATCGGATGTTTGACCGGTCGGTGCTGTTAGTGATGATGTCCTCTGATTTTCTTGTGATTGCCGTCGACGGCGGTCAGGTTCGGCCGATTTATTAGGATAGTCCTAAAATTAAAAAAAAAATTATGTTATTATTCAAAAATTTTTAGTTTTTATATTATAGATATAATATATAATTATAATATTTAATTAATAATTTACAATATATATTATATAATAGTATATAAATAATAATAATAATAATAATACATACCATTTAAAAATACTAAAAAATATATTTTTTTATAATTAAATACTATTATTATTATAATTATATAAATATTTTTTTGGGCAAATAAAGTAATATATATTAATTACTGCTAACAATTAAAAAATATATTTAATATATTGATAATTTTAATCATAAGTTTTATTTCATTAAATATATTAAGTTATATACTAATATATATTACAATATGTGAAACATGCAAAATACTGGTTTAAATGCAAACAGAAAATTACTTATTATTATTATAATATTATTATTAAAATCAATAAAAATAATAATAGTAATAATATATTTTTTATCCGTTACTTTAACTTCTCAAATATTATTATTATTATTATTATTATTATTATATCATATAATTTATATGATATACAGTATGTGATAAACTTTTAGCTTTTCATGTATAAATAAATGTTAATGTAATTAAATATATAATAATAAATATAATATTTATAAAGTTTTAAAATTAATTAATATTTAAATATTAACAAAAATTATTAATAAGTATAATAAATTGAAATTATTTAATCTTAATTTTAATTATGAATATAAGTTTTTTATGTTAAAATTCAATATATATAAAAAAATAATTAGTAAATAAATAATAATTAACTTATAATTTTTTTATTTAAATCAATAATTTAATTAAAAAATTAATTTTGTTGTTGCATCAATATTTTTTTATATATAGTTATAAATGTAATTTAATATGTATAGACAAAAATATCATATCTATTGAATAACTTATAAAATTATTGGGATATGAAACTGAAAAATATTTCTATATAAATAAAAATGTTTACAATTTATTATATATGATATTGAAAAATATATTAAATTTATTCAAATTCAAACTGTGATAAAAGATAACATAATATATAAAAAATAAATATCATATTATTATTATTATATCATATAATTTATATGACATACTGTATGTGAAAACTTTTAGCATTTAAAGTATAAATAAATGTTAATGTAATTTAATATATAATAATATTTATAAAGTTTTAAAATTAGTTAATATTAAAAATATTAACAAAAATATGAATAATAAGGAAAATTAATTGAAATTATTTGATGTTGATTTTAATTATGAATATAAGTTAAAATTCAATTTATAAAAAAATCTTAATTAATCATAATTAATTAATAATAAGTAACTTATAATTTATTTAAATAAATAATTTAATTAAATAATTAATATTGTTGTTGCATCAATATTATTTTTTATTAAATATATAGTTATTTAATGTAATTTAATATGAATAGACTAAAAAATATAATATCTATTAAATGACTGATAAAATTATGGGATATGAAACTGAAAAATATTTCTATATAAATAAAATTATATAAAACATTTATTTGTTTTAAAAATGTTTACAATATATTATTATATATGATATTTAAAAATATATTCAAAAATTCAAACTGTGATAAATGATAACATAAATATCATATTATTATTATTACTGTAAATTGTAATTATTACAAAACACTACATTCATATTGTATTATATGATTTACTGTATAATGTTTTTTTTGTTGATAAATAATACTGTAATAACTAATTACATAATAATTTAATTTATTTTTGAAAAATATTAAATACTAACTATAAGACTACAAAAAAAATAATATCAATATATATATATATGTGTATTACAATAATATATATAAATTTATCAATAAACAAAAAATACACATAAATGCTTTTAATTATGTTTCATATAATTATAAATTATAATTTTTTTTGTTATTTAACAAGCACATTTTAAACATTATTGAACAATTTGTGATAAAGTAATATATAAAAAAAAATAATAATAATAATAATAATAATAATAATAATAATAATAATAATAATAATAATAATAATAATAATAATAATAATAATAATAATAATAATAATAATAATAATAATAATAATAATAATAATAATAATAATAATAATAATAATAATAATAATAATAATAATAATAATAATAATAATAATAATAATAATAATAATAATAATAATAATAATAATAATAAAAGGAGGCACAGTGGTGTAGTGGTTAGTGTGTAGGGCTATGTAGTGTAATGGAGAGTAAGATCTATAGTTCGAGCCCCGATGTGGTAAAGCAATTTTTCTGAGAAAAAAAAATTGTTTTAACTGTGCTTCCCGTCCCTGCCCAACCAACGCTGTTTAGGACGGCCAACTTAAGTAGTATGGGGAAAACGGGGTGCTAAGTGAGGACGAGTTTCTGCCCGACCCCGGGTATCGGTACTTCGGTATCGGTACCCACCTGGGGGTACCCGCAAGGGTGCCCCCACCCGGGGGTGCCTGTAAAAAGGTGCCCCCACCCCGAAGAGACGTCCGCAAGGATGTCTCTTCACCCTTCGAGTAGTTACTCGTCCTCACACGCAATGGCCACTTTTGTTTCAAAAAATAAAAATCCTATTTCAACAAACACATGTTAGTGGTGAGAAATGGGTGGCAATAGACACATGTTAGTGTTGAGCTTATTCTAGGGACTGGGACCCCGTAAAAAGGCCAAAAACAAATATATATATAATTATGATTACACGTAGTCGAAGGAATAACGGGGGGTGTTCGGGAGGTACCCTCTCAAATAAATCCCGCGTTCAGCAGGTAGGCATTGACTGCAGTTCGTTAAGTATGCATCATATCCCACGCAGTGATGTGCTATGCGGGCAAAGCTGTGATGTAATGCGACCGCAGACTAGTCAACAAAATCAGACTAACCTCCAAAATGTTTCAGTTCAAGCTGGTTCTCAGCGACAACTGACCAATTTGGTTGAAAAATCGCAAAAGCGCATGAAATGGACACATGAGATGAATACCTTGATAATGCGCGAATACTACAGATCAACTCGACTCGAAACAAATATGACTGATTACAGAAACCAAATTTACTTAGCATTCAAACAGAAATATCCAGAACTAAATGTAACGGAACAAAGGATTGCAGACCAGCGGCGATTCTTAGCAAAGAATAATAAAATATCCCCAATAGAATTACAAGAAATCAAACAGCAAGTGGCACATGAACTATCATTAAATGAAACAACTGAATTAAATACCACAGTAGAAGTAGTGCCAGAAATGGAAGAGACACCTACAACAACAAATAACAGAATCAATACAAATGATGAAATAAATAGAATAACAGCAGAAAATGAACTAAAAACTACTTTAGAACAATATAAAGACTTTGAAATAGAACTCAGACCTAAGTTACCAAAAATAAAAAGTGGCGTAAAAACAAGATCTACAATAATAACAATTAATGATATACTTAAAGATTACATCGAAGATAACATGTCGTTGAGCACAATTAATACAATAACATACTGTGCAGCAGTAGCAGTATCGAGACTCTTAGGCTACAAAATACAACACATGTCAACTACAAAACCAAATCAAGAAAATATAATACTTAAATGGCAAAAGCGAATAGAGACACGTATAGAAGGGAAAAGACAAGTAATAGGAAGAATAACGCAAGTGTTAAATGGAAACAAATCAAAAAGACTTAACCAATCATTAAAAGATATATACCGATTATTACAGACAAAACCTGGAAAACCTGAATTTGAAGCTATTATCCGCAATTACAACGACACATTAAAACAAACAGTTCAAGCACTATCACAAAGAATCAGAAGATATAAACAACAAAGCGAAAGACGAAAACAAAATACAATGTTCTATAATAACGAAAAAATGTTCTATAGAAATCAAAACAAAATAAATTCAAGCAATATTAACCATACTCCACAAATAGATGAAATAGAAAACTACTGGAAAGAAATCTGGAGTAACCCAAAGGAATATAAAGAATCTAATTGGATAAATGATATTGAAGATGAAAATAAAGAAATACCACATATGACTTCAGTAAATATAATTAAAGATGACTTAACCGAAGCTCTCAAGAAATCCCACAATTGGAAAAGCCCAGGACAAGACAAAATACAAAACTTCTGGTACAAACACTTTACAACAGTACATCAACCAATGGCAATAGCAATGGATAAAATAATACAAACAGGACAAACCGATGACTTCCTCACTTCCGGAATAACATATCTACTCCCAAAAACAGAAAATACATCAGATCCCAGCAAATATAGACCCATCACTTGCCTAACAACAATGTATAAAATCCTAACATCCATAATATCAACAAAAATATATAATCATTTAAGTAACAACAACATAATAGCTGAAGAACAAAAAGGCTGTATAAAACACTCAATGGGCTGTAAAGAGCAATTAACAATAGACAATATTATAACAATAAGAGCTCGTCAAAAACATAGAAATCTTGAAATGGCATACATAGATTATAAGAAAGCATTCGATTCAGTCCCACATAAATGGTTATTAAGAGTGTTAAAACTATATAAAATTGACAACACACTGATAAACACATTAGAAAATATGATGAAAAAATGGAAAACTAAATTGTGTGTCAATACAAATAATGGAACAAAAATAAGTACAGAAATCAAAATAAATAGAGGAATATTTCAAGGAGATTCACTCAGTCCTCTGTGGTTCTGCTTAGCCATAAACCCACTGTCATCACTACTTAAAAAGCTAAAAGGCGTAAATCTAAAATCAAGTGATACAAAATATAATCTAACACATCTACTATATATGGACGACTTAAAACTATACGCCGAAAAAGAATCAGATTTAAATGCAATGCTAAAAACAACAGAAACTTTCTCCAATGATATAAATATGGAATTTGGATTAGATAAATGTGCTATAATGAAACTGAAAAGAGGAGTCTATTCTGAAAGAAATCAATACGAAACTGAAAATGGATATATAAAGGCACTAGAAAATGGAGATATATATAAGTACTTAGGAATTAAGCAAATGCATAAATCCAAAATGACAGAAGTTAAAGAAGAAATAAAGAAAACTTTAAACCAAAGAATAACAAAAATACTAAAATCTCAACTAAACTCAAACAACAAATTCAAAGCAATAAACACTTGGGCTATACCTGTACTGACATACTCGTTCGGAATAATAAAATGGAGTAAAACAGAACTTGAGACAATTGAAAGACATATAAGGCGACAACTTACAATGTTTGGACTACACCACCCTAGAAGTTCTGTAGCACGACTATGTGTTAGTAGAAAACATGGGGGTAGAGGGTTACTAAACATTGTAAGCCTTGAAGCCAAACAGCGAGAATTGCTGAGAAAATACCATCAACAAAAATGCAATGTCTCAGAGCTCCACAAAATAACATCAACACTCGATTACAACTACACACCTCTAAATCTCAGCAATAATGAACATCAAATAGAAATACAAAATGAAAAAGAGAGGATTAACACATGGGCCTCAAAAGAACTTCACGGAAGATACCGGGCAGAACTCAACCAAACACACGTAGACGAAGAAATGTCTACAAAATGGTTGAAGTACGCTGGTCTTCATGGAGAGACAGAGGGGTTCATGATGGCAATACAAGATCGAGTGATTCCGACACGAAACCATCAGAAATACATCCAAAAGCTAAATATACCAACAGACAAGTGCAGGATGTGTCATATGGAGTCCGAAACAATAGAACATATACTAAATGGGTGTAAAGTACTCACAAACACCGAGTACCTAAGCCGTCACAACCAAGTAGCCAAAATCATACATCAGGAATTGGCAATAAGATTCGGACTAATTAAAGAACCATTACCATATAGATACGAGCCACAAAGTGTAATGGAAAGCAACAGAGCCAAGCTCTACTGGGATAAAGAAATAAGAACAGATAAGACTGTGGCCCACAACCGCCCAGATATAGTACTAGTAGACAAACATCAAGATAAGGCGTACATAATAGACATAGCGGTCCCACTAACACACAAACTACAGGACACGCATAGTGAGAAACGCCGAAAATATACAGACTTGGCCTATGAGATCAATAAGATGTGGCGCATTAAGAAAGTTGAAATCATACCTATAATCCTGTCATCAATGGCCGTAATACCGAAAAATCTGGCCCTAAGTTTGGAATCACTGGAAATCAGAAAAACTAAGATCTATGAAATACAAAAAGCAGTAATACTTCAGAGTTGTAGAACAGTCAGAAAAGTACTAGACTTGAGTTGAGTCTAACCAGTCGTGTCTCTGCCACCAAAAAGTGGCCGACACAACTGTGATCACACCGGAACAACCGTGATATACAAAGATAATAATAATAATAATAATAATAATAATAATAATAATAATAATAATAATAATAATATAATAATAATAATAATAAAGAGGAGGCACAGTGGTGTAGTGGTTAGTGTGTAGGGCTATGTAGTGTAATGGAGAGTAAGATCTATAGTTCGAGCCCCGATGTGGTAAAGCAATTTTTCTGAGAAAAAAAAATTGTTTTAACTGTGCTTCCCGTCCCTGCCCAACCAACGCTGTTTAGGACGGCCAACTTAAGTAGTATGGGGAAAGCGGGGTGCTAAGTGAGGACGAGTTTCTGCCCGACCCGGGTATCGGTACTTCGGTATCGGTGCCCACCTGGGAGTACCCGCAAGGGTGCTCCCACCCGGGGGTGCCTGTAAAAAGGTGCCCCCACCCCGAAGGGATGTCCGCAAGGATGTCCCTTCACCCTTCGAGTAGTTACTCGTCCTCACACGCAATGGCCACTTTTGTTTCAAAAAAATAAAAATCCTATTTCAACAAACATGTTAGTGGTGAGAAATGGGTGGCAATAGACACATGTTAGTGTTGAGCTTTCTCTAGGGACCGGGACCCCGTAAAAAGGCCACAAAAATATATAAATATGATTACACGTAGTCGTAGGAATAACGGGGGGTGTTCGGGAGGTACCCTCTCAAATAAATCCCGCGTTCAGCAGGTAGGCATTGACTGCAGTTCGTTAAGTATGCATCATATCCCACGCAGTGATGTGCTATGCGGGCAAAGCTGTGATGTAATGCGACCGCAGACTAGTCAACAAAATCAGACTAACCTCCAAAATGTTTCAGTTCAAGCTGGTTCTCAGCAACAACTGACCAATTTGGTTGACAAATCGCAAAAGCGCATGAGATGGACACATGAGATGAATACCTTGATAATGCGCGAATACTACAGATCAACTCGACTCGAATCAAATATGACTGATTACAGAAACCAAATATACTTAGCATTCAAACAAAAATATCCAGAACTAAATGTAACGGAACAAAGGATTGCAGACCAACGGCGATTCTTAGCAAAGAATAATAAAATATCCCCGATTGAATTACAAGAAATCAAACAACAAGTGGCACATGAACTATCATTAAATGAAACAACTGAATTAAATATTACAGTAGAAGTAGTGCCAGAAATAGAAGAGACACCTACAACAACAGATAACAGAAACAATACAAATGATGAAACAAACAGAATAACAGCAGAAAATGAACTAAAAACATCTTTAGAACAATATAAAGACTTTGAAATAGAATTCAGACCTAAATTACCAAAAATAAGAAGTGGCATTAAAACAAGATCTACTATAATAACAATAAATGATATACTTAAAGATTACATCGAAGAAAATATGTCGTTGAGCGCAATTAATACAATAACGTATTGTGCAGCAGTAGCAGTATCGAGACTCTTAGGCTACAAAATAGATCCCATGTCAACAACAAAACCAAATCAAGAAAATGTAATACCTAAATGGCAAAGCGAATAGAGACACGAATCGAAGGGAAAAGAAAAATAATTGGAAGAATAACGCAAGTGTTAAATGGAAACAAATCAAAAAGAATTAACCAATCATTAAAAGATATATACAGATCATTACAGACAAAACCTGGAAATCCTGAATTTGAATCCATAATCCGAAATTACAACGACACATTAAAACAAACAGTTCAAGCACTATCACAAAGAATCAGAAGATATAAACAACAAAGCGAAAGACGAAAACAAAATACAATGTTCTATAATAACGAAAAAATGTTCTATAGAAATCAAAATAAAATAAATTCAAGCAATATTAACAATACATCACAAATAGATGAAATAGAAAACTACTGGAAAGAAATCTGGAGTAACCCAAAGGAATATAAAGAATCAAATTGGATAAATGATATTGTAGATGAAAATAAAGAAATACCACATATGACTTCAGTAAATATAATTAAAGATGACTTAACCGAAGCCCTCAAGAAATCCCACAATTGGAAAAGCCCAGGACAAGACAAAATACAAAACTTCTGGTACAAACACTTTACAACAGTACATCAACCAATGGCAATAGCAATGGATAAAATAATACAAACAGGACAAACCGATGACTTCCTCACTTCTGGAATAACATATCTACTCCCAAAAACAGAAAATACATCAGATCCCAGTAAATATAGACCCATCACTTGCCTAACAACAATGTATAAAATCTTAACATCCATAATATCAACAAAAATATATAATCATTTAAGCAACAACAACATAATAGCTGAAGAACAAAAAGGCTGTATAAAACACTCTATGGGCTGTAAAGAGCAATTAACAATAGACAATATCATAACAATAAGAGCTCGTCAAAAACATAGAAATCTTGAAATGGCATACATAGACTATAAGAAAGCATTCGATTCAGTCCCTCATAAATGGTTATTAAGAGTGTTAAAACTATATAAAATTGACAACACACTGATAAACACATTAGAAAATATGATGAAAAAATGGAATACTAAATTGTGTGTCAATACAAATAATGGAACAAAAATAAGTACAGAAATAAAAATAAATAGAGGAATATTTCAAGGAGATTCACTCAGTCCTCTGTGGTTCTGCTTAGCCATAAACCCACTGTCATCATTACTTAAAAAGCTAAAAGGCGTAAATCTAAAATCAAGTGATACAAAATATAATCTAACACATCTACTATATATGGACGACTTAAAACTATATGCCGAAAAAGAATCTGATTTAAATGCAATGCTAAAAACAACAGAAACTTTCTCCAATGATATAAATATGGAATTCGGATTAGATAAATGTGCTATAATGAAACTGAAAAGAGGAGTCTATTCTGAAAGAAATCAATACGAAACTGAAAATGGATATATAAAGGCACTAGAAAATGGAGATATATATAAGTACTTAGGAATTAAGCAAATGCATAAATCTAAAATGACAGAAGTTAAAGAAGAAATAAAGAAAACATTAAACCAAAGAATAATAAAAATACTAAAATCTCAACTAAACTCAAACAACAAATTCAAAGCCATAAACACTTGGGCTATACCTGTACTGACATACTCGTTCGGAATAATAAAATGGAGTAAAACAGAACTTGAGACCATTGAAAGACATATAAGGCGACAACTTACAATGTTTGGACTACACCACCCTAGAAGTTCTGTAGCACGACTGTGTGTTAGTAGAAAGCATGGGGGTAGAGGGTTACTAAACATTGTAAGCCTTGAAGCCAAACAGCGAGAATTGCTGAGAAAATACCATCAACAAAAATGCAATGTCTCAGAGCTCCACAAAATAACAGCAACACTTGATAACAACTACACACCTCTAAATCTCAGCAATAATGAACATCAAATAGAAATACAAAATGAAAAAGAGAGGATTAACACATGGGCCTCAAAAGAACTCCACGGTAGATACAGAGCAGAACTCAACCAAACACACGTAGACGAAGAAATGTCTACAAAATGGTTGAAGTACGCCGGTCTTCATGGAGAGACAGAGGGGTTCATGATGGCAATACAAGATCGAGTGATTCCGACACGAAACCATCAGAAATACATCCAAAAGCTAAATATACCAACAGACAAGTGCAGGATGTGTCATATGGAGTCAGAAACAATAGAACATATACTAAATGGGTGTAAAGTACTCACAAACACCGAGTACCTAAGCCGTCACAACCAAGTAGCCAAAATCATACATCAGGAATTGGCAATAAGATTCGGACTAATCAAAGAACCATTACCATACTATAGATACGAGCCACAAGGTGTAATGGAAAGCAACAGAGCCAAGCTCTACTGGGATAAGGAAATAAGAACAGATAAGACTGTGGCCCACAACCGCCCAGATATAGTACTAGTAGACAAACATCAAGATAAGGCGTACATAATAGACATAGCGGTCCCACTAACACACAAACTACAGGACACGCATAGTGAGAAACGCCGAAAATATACAGACTTGGCCTATGAGATCAATAAGATGTGGCGCATTAAGAAAGTTGAAATCATACCTATAATCCTGTCATCAATGGCCGTAATACCGAAAAATCTGGCCTTAAGTTTGGAATCACTGGAAATCAGAAAAACTAAGATCTATGAAATGCAAAAAGCAGTGATACTTCAGAGTTGTAGAACAGTCAGAAAAGTACTAGACTTGAGTTGAGTCTAACCAGTCGTGTCTCTGCCACCAAAAGTGGCCGACACAACTGTGATCACACCGGAACAACCGTGATATACAAAAATAATAATAATAATAATAATAATAATAATAATAATAATAATAATAATAATAGTGTATTTTTGTGACAGTATATTATTGTATTTATTATTACAATTAATTATATATAATTAAATATCAGCTAATTAAATATACAACAATTAATTCAAAAAAATATAAATTATATGTTTTATTTAAAGCATACAATTATTTAACATTAACATTAATAAATTTTCAACTATTATTGTGTACTGTATTTTATTTATTACTTTACTACTGTAGTATATAATCTATAATTAAACTTAATCTATAAATAATAATAATATTAAATGTTATTATTATTATTATTATTATTTAATAAATATTAATATAAAAAATAAAAATTTATTATTGTAAAACTAGTAAATATTATATAACATAATACAGTAATTAGCATTAACCTTGATTGAAAGTTGATAATGTTTATTTTTGAAAAAAATATATAAATTATTTTTTAAAAATTATTTACAACACGATGATTTTTTTCGGCGTTTATTATGGCTATTATTATTATTATCATTATCTAAGATGACTGTCCCTATGTTAGCAATTGCCATATTAGTTGGCTCCGGGCTTTCGGTCAGCATATGGTTATCGCATATAATATCGACTAACCTATCAAACACATCGTCGACATTGACATTATCTTTAACCGATGTTTCAAAGAAATCCAGTTTCAATTTATCGGCCAATTGTCGGCCCATTTCATAGCTGATCATCCGTTTCTTTGGCTGTTGTAGTCGGTGTTGTTGTCGGTGTTGGTTGTAATCATCATCACTATCACCACCACTACCACCACTCAGATCACATTTATTGCCAACCAGTACTATCTGTGCCCTATCGGGTGCATTATCTTTGAATAATTGAAGCCATTGTTCAATCATATCAAACGACTCTCTATCTGACACGTCATACATTAGTAGACAACCGTCCGCTTTACGAAAGTATGAAGTAATAATCGTACGATACCTTTCCTGACCGGCCGTATCCCAGATCTGCAAACGGATACGCTGTTTGTTGCCATTGACTGACTGTCTGTCGATTGTTTTTAATCTGAAATCTATACCAAGTGTATGGACAGCCGATATGTTGAACATGTAGTCAGTGTATCGGTAGATAAATGCCGACTTTCCGACCGATGAATTCCCAATTACCAGTAGTTTCAATAATAAGTCATAGCTATTGTTCATCACAACTCTATCGGATGTTTGAACAGTTTGTGATGTCCTCTGATTTTGTTGTGGTTGCCGTCGTCGACGGCGGTCAGGTTCGGGTGATTTATTAGGATAGCCCTTAAATTCAAACAATTAAGTTATTATTCATAATAATAATTAGTGTTTTTATTATACATATTATAATACTATAATATAAAACATATACAGTATATTATAAATAATAATAATAATAATAATAATAATAATAATAATAATAATAATAATAATAATAATAATAATAATAATAATAATAATAATAATAATAATAATAATAATAATAATAATAATAATAATAATAATAATAATAATAATAATAATAATAATAATAATAATAATAATAATAATAATAATAATAATAATAATAATAATAATAATAATAATAATAATAATAATAATAATAATAATAATAATAATAATAATAATAATAATAATAATAATAATAATAATAATAATAATAATAATAATAATAATATACCATTTAAAACACTAAAAATTTAGTTTAAAATACTACTAAATAGTATATTAATATTTAATTACAAATATTAATATTATAAAATGTATTAATGTAATGCACCGCAAAAAAATATAATGATAAAAAATAATAATAAATTTATTGCAGAAAAAAATATATTGAATATGTATATATACAGGTATATAATTAATATTAATAATTTTAATCGTATTTTTATTACAAAAAAATATAAAAGTATAAAATATATCTATGAAAAATATTGTTGTAAAAAAATAACAAATAAAAATAATTATTTTATTAATATTATTTAATTACCAAATTGATTATTACTATGAAATAAAATACTCGATATAGATATACTATTTATATATATTGTAGCGGAATAATAATAGATCATTTAAAACAATAGTAAAAGTACTCAAATTATAAGCTTAATTACTTATATAACATCTTATATGTATTACGTATGTGTATGTTTTCACTACAGTTTATAATGTATTAAATACATAGTTTAATATGAGATATGTATTCCCATAGAAATAACATWAACGGGTTATTTAGTATTMTAAAGTATGTGTTTAGTATACCCATAGGAATTGCATTAACGGCACATTCACTATTATAAATATGGGTTTAACATTGCCATAGAAATAACATTAGCTATACTTTAACATACAAACATATAGGTTTAGTTTGTGACACGTATAGTGTCAGTAAATGTAGTGACGCACTTGCGTTTCAGTGAATACTATTTAACCATTGGTTTAAACATTTTATATACAGGGGTTAACAAGGGTTTTTGTTTCCTATACTTTAACATTAATGAATTAATTAACTTCTAAGCGCACTTGTGTATTGTATTTTAATGCAAATGAGAATTTGCCTTTAGGTGGTAGTGTGCGATTGATCAAAAATAGGCAGAGTTTGAATTAACCAATAAGAGCAAAGTAGTAGTATATGTAAAAGTTGTCATCAAATATGAATGCAGAGTTTAACAGTTTGCGCGCGCAGCAGGCAGTGGCTTATGCAGCGATCAGACTGCTGAGCTCTCAGTCGAGCGAAATGCTCGACAAAAGTTGTCTTACTCTTGAACTGGTCGGTTGCCGTCACTCTGCTCCACAATACACGGTAGTGTATTGTATTACATTGTATTAGTTTATTTTTATATGTGTTATCAATAAAACTCGGTTTTGGTATAAGTCCCGAGTAAGTCATTTGGGCCTTTGGCCCGTACTTTCTCTTCTCTCTCTATCTCTCTTACTTTCTCTTTTCATTTCATCTACGGGCTCCCTTGCCGTGTCAGTCGTGTGTCCCTTTCCCGTGTCCAACACCACCACCTCAACACATTGGCCGACAACACCACTCAGCTCATTGGCCGACAACACCACTCAGCTCATTGGCCGACAACACCACTCAGCTCATTGGCCGACAACACCACTCAGCTCATTGGCCGACAACACCACTCAGCTCATTGGCAAATACAGCACCGCTCAACTCACTGGCCAATACAGCACCGTTTAGCTCATTGGCTCATCACAACCATCACCACTCACCGCCAGATCCATACCGTGGTCACTGATGTCCTCAACTACATAGGTGTTGGTGCCGACTCATCTCTAAGACCGAAACACTTTGGTGCCGATAACGTCGAGTCAGCACCGGACACCTTAAGCAACCCATCCAACCGTTTCAATATATATTTATACCTATTATACATACAGTATAAGTCTATTCTAAATAAATCTATAATATTTATAGAAAACTATTAATTGATCTTGATTATTATTATTATTATTATTTAATTTATTTTTTTTAATTGTTAACATAACTTTATTAATAGCTTTTTAAATGTATTTTTATTTTTAAAAAATTAATAATAATAATAAACCAAATAACAATAATACTCATCAAGAGTTATTTTCAAAATACACCATTTATTTCAAAAATTATTAATTGAAATTTATTTTAAAAATATATATCTTATTTATGAATAAATGGGATTTCATATTTTAATAAATAAAATTTTTAAATTGGCGCCATTTTATGGCAATAAATTTACAAAGTTGCAAGTCAATTTTTTTCGAAACTTTTCTAGCATATTCTATAGAATATTTGTGTAGTTTTTCACGAAAAAGTTATACTATATATTTTTAATAAAATTTTAATTATTGTTAAAAATACATTTAGTTTCTTAAACGTTATCATTAAAACTAGAAAGAACTTAAAAATTTTTAATTAATAATAAAATTTAAAATTTTGTAAATTATAATATTTTTAAAAATTCATAACTAAACATTGGCTTAATTTTTGACAAATTTTTTTCTATTTATCAAACAAGTATCTATATCCATTTACACTAACATGATAACCAAAAATTTTTAAATAAAATATTTATACTTATTTAACTTTTAGTATAATTTTAGTTATGTTATGTACAGCCGCAATTTTGATTTTTTAAAATTTATTTTTTTAAATAATAAACGCCAGCTACCCCACACTAAATCTACATTAAAATATTTTTGCTTTTATTTAAAGTATAGAAATAGCGCTATTTTTAAAAAGATAATAGGTGTTGGGCCAGTCGTTAATTATTGTTATTGTTATTTATTAATGTTATTACTATAAATATACTTAATTAATTTCAAATATAAAAAACAATTGATTTAAAAATTATTTTTATTATTTTTATCATATTATTGCGTTATTAAAATTTTTTGCTATATATCATTTAAAGTTATCAAATTTATATAAATAAAAATTATTATTGTAAACAAACATTTTTTGATTATATAAAATTATATATAAATTATTATTTATCAAGTTATTATCAATTTGTTATTTTTGTTATAAGATTATAATTTTTGTTTTAATTAAAACAAATACATTTAGTCTTCTAACTATTAATTTTAAAAAAAATAAACAATAATTTTTAAAAACAATTTTTTTAAATGTATTACTAAAATATTAATTATATATATATATATAAAAATATTATACAATATTTTACTGATGGTAAGTATTAAAATATTTAAAATTTATTGTAATTAAAATTTATAATAACATTATAATTATTATAAACTAAATGTTCAAATTCAAGGGAAACAATACTCAATCACCCGAACCTGTCCGCCGCCGCCAACAAAACAGGAGGACATCATCATCAACAACAACAACAACAACAATACCGGTTACCGCAAAAACACCGAAAACTATCGGCCATAGTATACAGGATAAGCCTATCGGGAGAGTTATGACCAACAACTATGATCTATCACTAAAATTGCTGGTAATCGGCAATTCATCGGTCGGAAAGTCGGCATTTATCTACCGATACACTGACTATATGTTCAAAATATCAGCCGCCAGTACAGTAGGTATGGATATTAAAGTCAAAACAATTGACAGACAGACGGAGGAAGTGGACGGTGTCAGCGGCGGCGGCAACAAACAGACTATCCGTTTAGAGATCTGGGATACGGCCGGTCAGGAAAAGTATCGTACGATTACCAGTTCATACTTTCGTAAATCAGACGGTTGTCTACTAATGTATGACGTGACCAATGGACAGTCGTTTAATATGATTGAACAATGGCTTCAATTATATAGAGAATTAGCACCCGATGGGGCACAGGTAGTATTGGTTGGCAATAAATGTGATATCAGTGATGGTAGTGGAGGTAGTGATGATTATGACAGCCAACAACAACAACAGCCGAAGCAGCATCGGGTGATCAGCTATGAAATGGGCCGACAATTGGCCGATAAATTGAAACTGGATTTCTATGAAACATCAGTCAAACATAATATCAATGTCGACAAAGTGTTTGATAGATTAGTGGATATTATTTGCGATAACCATATGTTGAACGAAAGCCCGGAGCCGCCAACAAATATGGCGACCATAGGGACAGTCGTCTTAGATAATTCTCGGCTAATTTCAGGTCGAAAAAAATCAAAATGTTGTTAAAAATTATTTTTTTTTTAATATTAAAACATTTATTGCAAAAAAAAATATAAATGTGGAAAATATTTTTATGAAAAATATTATTATAAAAAAAATTAAATTATTATATTAATATTATTTATATACTAATTATATACCTATATCTATAAGTCAAATCTAAATAATTATGTTAAAAAATTATCATTAGATTTTTGATTTTATGATTTTTAAATTTTTATTTTAATAATAACTCTAATATATATACATATAAAAAGTAATTTAATATTTTAAATTTGACATTTATTTATGTATATAGTAGTAATATAAAAATAAACTAATTTTTTTTAAAAAAATATAACATATTGTATTATATATCATATACCGTATATATATATATATATATATATATTGATGAAACTACAAAAATAATATATATAAAAATTAAAAACTAAACTTAAAGTTAAAGTTAAAGTTAAATTTAAATTTAAATTAAAACTTATAATTTTTAATATGATGAATAGCCCAGATTAAAAAATTTATTTTGTATATATGGATATTTAATTGCTAATAATGATTGATCTTGGTGATTATTATTATTATTGTTTCGAAAATTGTTCAGGTTAGATTTTTCCAACTCCTTAACACACCGGAGCCATAGTTGCGGATTATTAGTACCATTATTGGGATACAAACTTTTCACTAGTGTTTGTACCTGTTTGGGCATACCGTGGGTTAGTATGGAAAATTTATCACTAGGGCTCAGGGATGTATGATTCAGATAAGACATTTTCTCCCTATAATAGCTATCGATTGGCTCATTCGGTACATATAGCCGATTGATTGCCATCAAAATAGGTGTATCCTGACCGCCAAATGTGTACAATAATTTTTCCCGTATAACTGGCCAACTGTTTTGATGTTCAGCACCTGTAGTGTCAACAATACCAGCAAACACTTCCTGTGCCATCCATTGCATCATACGATCGCCGGTTACATGAAATTCTAGATCTAGTAGTCTATCCCTATCTGCGGTTATATTGCGCTCATAGATGATCAGCCAGTCGTATATATTAATAGTTTGCTGATTGGCCGTAAATTTGGGTATATTTTTCAATCGCATAACTTTCCTATAGTTTGCTGGTGATGATGGAGTCAGGGACTGGTAGCTAAGCGATTCTGTATCATCGAAAGCCGTATCCCATACTGATTCAGCAGCCGATGATGATTCAGACAGTGATGGCGTTGTCAATGCCGGTGCCGGTGCTGTTGCCGGTGTTGTAAGTGGTGTGTACGGACCCATTGGTATGCATACATCAGTCGGCAAATATCCGACCAGATTTTGTGTCAGCGACCGAACCATATATGTATTGTCCGTATTGTTGTTGGGATTGTTGGGGTTAGGGTTGTTGTTGTTGATGTACTCCAGTATAATAAGTGGTTCATTACGTCTAACACTAAACGTACCGTTAGTATAGTCAGTCTTGACTTTTCCGGACAAATTAAGCGACATTTTTATTATTTAGTAAATTTTTTACTAAAAATAATAATTAAATTAAGTTAAAAAAATTTATTTATTTCAATTTATCAAAAATAAAATATTATGAGACTATTGAATATCTATATTTTAATTTTTATTATTAGATATTAATATTTTACACAACAACAACATCAAGTTTAGATAATATTAAATAAATTAATACTTTATTTTTTTCATAGACTATCAAAATTGATAATAAAATTTAATAAATAATTTCATTTATAATAAATCTAAATAAAACTTATCATTTTTTATTTTTTATTAATACTATTTTTGTTATTTACAGTACAAATTATGTTAATTTTAATTTAAATATTATCAATATTCAAAAATATTTTCATAAAAACTTGATATATGTTAATGAAATTTATATATTTTAAATATATTAAATAAAACTAATATTATCGCTAAATAGTTGATAAATAATAAAAAAATTAATTTAAATTCAACTATTTTTTATATATTATAATTTTTTTTTGAATTTACTTTATAAATATAATTTTATAGATTGGGTTTTTTAAATATAGTGATAATCATTAAAAAAAGCAATATATTTATTAATTAAAAAATTAAGTAAACTATTTTGCAATAATATTAATAATAATATACAATTGATATAAAAAAAATTTAATACAATACACTACTTTATTAAGTACAACATAAATTTACATTTCTATATATATATATATAAAACAATATATAATTAATAATTATATATTTATTTAATAATAATATATTTATTAATAATAATATATTTATTTAATAATAATTTTTTATTTTTATAAATATACTTTAAATATTTATTTATCATATATAACTTTAGAAAAAAATAAAATAAAACTTTTCATAATTATGATTTATTTTTATTTATTTATTTTTATTTATTTATTTATTATTATTTTTATTTATTTATTATTATTATTTTTATTTATTTATTATTATTTTTATTTATTTATTATTATTTTTATTTATTTATTTTTATATTTAATTTCAAAATAATCTAAATAAATTGTTACTCAAATTGATCTTGTTAGATTTTTCCAACTCCCTAACAAATCTAAGCCATTGTTGTGGATCATTATTATTATTATTATTATTTGAATGCATACATTTCAATAGGGTTTGTACCCGATTGGGCATACCATGGGTTAGTAATGCAAATTTATCACTGGGACCCAATGGCGTATAATTGAGATAGGACATTTTTTCCCGATAATAGGTTTCAATTGGCTCATTGGGCTTATATAGTCTATTGATTGCTAAAATAATAGGTAATTCATTGCCGCCAAAAGTATACAATAATTTTTCCCGTATAACTGGCCAACTTGTTTGTTGTTGGTGTGCACCTAGTGTTAGCAACAAAAAAAAAATAGAAATCTATATAAAATAATAGAAAAATTTCTAGAAAGTTTCTAGAAACAAATTTATATCTATGGGATCCTCCCCCCCCATGGTTAATTTTATTATCTCGGTATTTGATAATCATATAACAATACATTACCTTAAATATTATTAGTATTATTATTAGTATTTTAATTAATTTAATTAAAGTAAACTAATTTAATTAATTAAACTACAGGGTATGATATACAGTATGTAATAAAATGATTATTTTACAATTTTACAAAACTAATTATTATTAAATAATTAAAATTGTTTAATATATATAGCATTTGTGTAGTACTGTACTATACTGTATACTATACAGTGTATAGTATTATACTGTATAATACAGGTATTATATGTATAGTATTGCAGTAACAATAGATATGGGGGATCCCATAGTATAATAATAAATAATTAAATTTTTATAGAAATTTATTTCGTGAGAAATTTTCTAGAAATTTTCTCTCAATGGGAAATTTCTATAGAAACTTTCTACAATTTGCCCATCATCTCTACCTGTATTGCTTGAATCAACAGTAGTAAACAACACTTCCTGGGCCAGCCATGTCCTCATCCGATGGCCCGTTACGTAAAAACTAAAATTTATTAGTCTATCCCTATCTGTGGGTATATTATACTCGTAGATGACTAACCAATCGTATATATTTTGTTGGTCGGCGTCGGCATCGGCCGTAAATTTTGGTATATTATTCAATTGAATAACTGTCCTATAGTTTCCTAGATATGGATACATCCCGGAGCTAATCGCCGATTCTTTGTTGTTGGTGTTGTTGTCATAATCCTTGTTGTCTAACGATACCAGTAATGGTGTTGTCATCGATGCCGATGCCGATACCGGTGCTGTTGTTGTTGTTGTTGTAATTGGTGTGTACGGACCCAATGGTATGCATACATCAGTCGGCAAATATCCGACCAAATTTTGTAGTACCGACCGAACCAGATATGTATTATCCGTATTGTTGTATTCCATAATAATTAATGGTTCGTCCCGTCGGACACTAAACATACCGTTAGTATAATCACTGTTGACTTTTCCGGACAAATTAAGTGACATTTTTTGTTTGTTTGGTTTAGTAAGTAAATTAAATATTAAAAACAAAAAATTTGTTTCAATTCAATTTAAAAAAATAAGTTTTTAAATATTTTTTAAAAAATAATAATATATAATAATAATACGTTATCTTATATTATTATTAGACAAAATTATTTATGTATTATATAATATATTTTATTAATTAATATTAATAATATTTTTAATATATGTACTATAATATTAAAATTGATTAAAAAATAAGCTTATTAAACAATTATAGTTTGTTTGTTTTTATTGCATTATTTTTAAAATGATAAATTTTATTTAGATCTTAAATATACTTATGTATATTAAACCTAAATTAAAATTTATTATTTTTAATAATAATGCATTAAATTCAAAAATGTGAATTGTGAAATATGTTAATTTTTATTTAAATTTTTATCAATATTTAATCATTTTAATTAAATATTAACCTCAATATATTATTTTATTTAAAAAAAATTATATGTAAATTAAATATATGTCATATGAATATAACATTTAATACATATTAATTAAATTATATATAAAATATTTTTATTAATAAAAACAACATAATATGATTTCTATGAGAAATTATGTAATTAACTAAATATAGACTTATATTTTAAAAACAAAAATCATTTATCTATTAATAATATCAAATATATTAAAGTAATTAAAATTAAACATTATATTATATATATATATATATTGTATATATATATTTAAATTTTATACAAAAACATATTAATTATAGTAAAAGTATTCTAACATATTATCATAAATCTGTATAAGAATTAATGAATATATAATTTAAATATTAAAATATATATAATATTTTTATTTATTTAAAAAATTAATTAAGATAAAAACAACATTGATAATATATAAAGTTTATATTATAAACTGTATATTTTCAAGGTTACAAATTATTGTGTACTAATAGTATATTTAATATAATTAATATGTGCAAGTATTTAAAGTATAAAAAAATGTTAATGTAATTTAATAATAATAATAATTATTATTATTATAAAGTTTTAAAATTAATTAATATTAAAAATATTAACAAAAATATTAATTAGGAAAATAGATTAAAATTGTTTGTTTTTTATTAAAATTCAATTTATAAAAATACTAATTAATTACAATTAATAAATAATAATTAACTTATAATTTATTATTATTATTTTTTTAATTTAAATAAATAATTTAATTAAAAATTTAATATTGTTGTTGCATCAATATTATTTTTTATATATAGTTATTTAATGTAATTTAATGTGAATAGACTAAAAATAAAATATCATATCTATTGAATGACTCATAAAATTATGGGATATAAAACTGAAAAATATTTCTATATAAATAAAAATATATATATAATAAAACACATTTATTTTTAAAAATGTTTACAATATATTATACCGTATATATATATATATATATATGATATGACATTGAAAAATATATCTTAAATTTATTCAAAAATTCAAACTGTGATAAAACATAAACATCATGTTATTATAATTATTATTATATATATAAATTATTATAAAATATATTCATATTGTATATAATGTTTATTTTGTTTTTGTTGATAAATAATAATGTAATAACTAATTACATAATAGATTTAATTAATTTATTTTTTTAAAATATTAAATATTAACTATAAAAATTTTATAAAAAAAATTAATATCATTGTATCACTGTATATAATTAATACTAATAAATAATCAGATATTAAAATATAATATTTTTATTTATTTTTTAAAAAAAAATTAATACAACAAAAAAAACAACATTGATGATATAAAATTTATAGTATTATAAACTGTATGTAGTTTCAAGGTTACTAATTATTATTATTATTATTATTATTATTACTGATATTGTGAACTAGGTTGATGTTGAAAATTGTTTGACTGATGATAAGCACCGGGATGTGATGATGGCATCTGTGTTGATGATGATGTAGGCATAGTAGTAGTAGTATTGTTATAAGGAAATCTATTAGGTGGAGCTGAATAAATTGGGCCAGGTAGATTTTGGTACGGGTATATGGGACTCGGGTGGGTGTTATATACTGTAGACGCTTGTTGTTGTGGAGCTACCGGTGCTGGCGGTTGTTGTTGTTGTGGTGGTTGTGGCAGTTGTTGTCGGATCCAATTGTTTAGCAAATTGGTGCCAACAGTTTGCAACTGCTGTAACACCGGTTGATACCACTGTTGTTGTTGTTGTGGTGATCCCTGCGGTGCTGACGGTTGACCACCACCTCTGCCACCATTGGCACCTCCTCTCAAACATCTGGGTTTATCTTTTACTTGATTAGCTGTGACAGTGATCGGACCGCCGCAGTATAGATAGACATCCGGTTTTATAGGTATCAGTCGGTTCGGGTCCAGTGTTTGGACATACACTTCGACCAACCAGTCGGCCGAGTTATGACGTCCGCCCTGAGCTGCTGCTGATGTTGTTGCCAGTGGTCCGTGAATGCGGTCGACTATTTCGTGTCGATAGTACTGATCGGGACTGAGTGAACTGAGTACTACTCCCTGTGCGCCGCCTTCGCCGCCGCCACCGTACGGCTCGACACTATTGCCCGGATAGATGACACCCGATAGTCGGATACTGTCGGCGCCGGCAGTTGTAGTATAATGGTATAACACTACCGTATGTGACAGTGCCATAGGATGGACAGGTTGTGCAAATCTATACTGTATTTTTTTTGTGTGGAGAAAATAATTTTATTACTAGTATTAGTAATAGTAGTAATAATTAATAATTAATTTTTTAAATTAATTATATAACCATTATTAGTATTATTATTAGTATTATTATTAGTATTATTATTAGTATTATTATTAGTATTATTATTAGTATTATTATTATTATTAGTATTATTATTAGTATTATTATTAGTATTATTATTAGTATTATTATTAGTATTATTATTAGTATTATTATTAGTATTATTATTAGTATTATTATTAGTATTATTATTAGTATTATTATTAGTATTAGAATTATTATTATTATTACTATTTTTAATAATTATTAAAAATATTGTTAAACTAAATAAATTGTAATTATTATTTACCATTGTGAATTGTTATTTAAAAAAAAAAATTATTATTAAAATACACTTTTATAAATTTAATAATTGTTATAAAATAATTTTTATTACTTACAAAATAGTGTATATATGAGCTAAAAAATTTTGTTTAATTTAAACTAAAGATAATAATAATAAATTTTTATAATATTATTACTGTATTTAGTTTATCAGTAATATTTATTACTACTGTATATATAAATATTTATATATAAAATAATGTAAATAATTTATATTTGTGTTGATGTAATAATGTAATGTTGTTTTTTTTAAATATTGATGCAACCATTAATTTTTTTATCAAAATTATTAATAAACTATAAAATCTACGTTAATTAACACAATTGATTTCAACATCAACCTAGATCACACAATATCAGTAATAATAATAATAATAATAATAATAATAATTTGTAACCTTGAAACTATACAGTTTATAATTATATATATATATATTATATATTTGTTTATAATAAAAATATTATAATTATCTATTATTTAACTATTGATATAAAGTTTATATATATATTAAAACTAATTTTTTTAAAAGTAAATTAATGGTAAGTTTCAAGTATTTATATATAGAAATATATAAATTTTTTAAAAATTTATTTTATATTAATCCTTAAATAAATAATTAATACTAATCAACAACAACAAAAAAGTAATACTAATAATATTAACTAAAATTGTCATTAATTTAGGGCTATCCTAATAAATCACCCGAACCTGATCGGCGCCGACGGCTACCACAACAAACCCAGAGGACATCATCACAAACGACACCGACCGGTCAAACATCATCCGATAGAGGAGTTGTGACCAAAACTGGTAACAATAACAACAACAACAACAACAATAGCTATGACTTATTATTGAAACTATTGGTAATCGGCAGTCAGTCAGTCGGTAAGTCAGGATTTATCTACCGATACACTGACGACTACACGTTCAACAACATGTCATCTGCTGCTAACTGCTGTACTGTTGGCTTGGATTTCAAAATAAAAACACTAATCAAACAGACCAACAATGATGCCAACAAACAGTCTATACGTTTGCAGATCTGGGATATGGGCGGTCAGGACTGTTTCCGTACGATTACCAGTTTATACTATCGTAAAGCTAGCGGTTGTCTACTAATGTATGACGTTTCAGATAGACAATCGTTTGATATGATTGAACAATGGCTTTAATTATTTAGAGATAATGCACCCGATAGGGCACAGGTAGTACTGGTTGGCAATAAATGTGATATCAGTGATGGTAGTGATGATGACAACCAACAACAACAGCAACCTAAGCGAGTGATCAGCTATGAAATGGACTGACAATTGGCCGATAAATTGAAACTGAATTTCTATGAAACATCAGTCAACGATAATATCAATGTCGACAATGTGTTTGATAGGTTAGTCGATCTGATATGCGATAACCATATGTTGGCCGAAAGCCCGGAGCCGCTAACAACTATGACGATTGCAACCATAGGGGGGACAGTTGTCTTAGGATATAATAATCGTCAACAAAATTTTCGTCTAAATAATTCACCTGTACAAAAATCTAAATGTTGTTAACAAAACAAAAAATAATAATAATAAAATTTTTAATAAAAAATTAATATATAAGTAGCATTAATAAATTTGATGTTTTATTATTTTTAATGATATTATTTTGAAATTATCATTAATATAAATATAAGTAAAAATAGAGTAATTAAATCATTTTTATTTAATAATTATCATTTTTTAAAAAAAATTTAAAATATATATTTATATAATTTACTGACAATTTTTTAGTAATAATAATAATAAAAATAAAAATATTATCAAGCTGTTTTAAGCATATGTTTATATTAATATATGTATATATATTAAAGGTTAACAAACTTATTAAATTAAAGTTTTATTTACAATTATTTATTTTTTTTAAATACATAAAGGTTTATAATAATAATAATAAGAATTATAAATATATTTTTTTGGAAATAAAAAATATAATAAATAATTTTTAGTGATTGAATTGATTAATAATTTATATTTAATTTTGTTGAACAAACAAACAAAAATCATAATGAAATTTTTAATATCAATTTTATTTTGTTGTCTATTGTTTAACATTAGCAGTCTATTAGCAATTGATGATAAGTGTATGTATTTATGTTATTTTTGTTTAAATAACTAATCTATTATTATTATAATTAATTATTTTTAATTAATTAATTATTTATTTTATACATCTATATAGCTGAGTCAAATAATTTTCTAACCGGAATCAGTGGTATAATAAAAATCATTGGTTTTGATCCCAGTGTATCGTTGCCTACATTGCCAACAGTACCTACTGTGCCAACTGTCCCAACTATTCCCAAAATTAGTGATTTTCCTACAGTTCCCACTTTACCTGATTTGCCAACTTTGCCTGTTGAGTTTGATGGTTAATTATTTTTATTATTAATATAAATAATTTTTTTTATAGTAATTTTTAATAAAATAATTTAATGTAAAAAATATAATATAATCTTAAAAATAATTTATTTTAAAAATAATTGTTCTAAATATTTAAAATAAATAAAATTTAATTTTTAATTACTAGTAACTGTATAATAAAATTGATTTTAATTTTTAGTTAATTATTTTTTTCTAAATAAATAAAAAATTATTATAATTTTATTTTTATTAAACATATAATTAATTATTTTTGTTATATAAATAAATTATAGGGTTAATAATTTAATATAATATTAATTGTTAGTATGTAATAAATGATTTTGTTTAACTTTATATGAGTTTATTATGTACATTTAATTTTTAGCTGAAAATATTTTTTTTGTATTAATAATGTGTTTAAATATATTGTACTTAAAAACATAAAAATGTAAATCATTATGATTTAGCAGGTTTATTAAAAAGTTATATTTACTAATTTTTCAAACAACACGTTTACTAAAAAAAATATTTATATTTTAATAAAATATATGTGTATTAGTATAGTTTAGTTTTTAAAATAAAATATATTAATTTATATTAAAACTAAAATAAAATATGAAAATTTTTATAATATTATTTCTAAGTTTATTATATACTGTTTTGCTAACCAATGCTAGTGAATGTAATTATAAAAAAAATTATATTTTATTTTAATTAATTTATAAATATTTTTAGTTTTTTTATAATAATAAAAAAACATATATTTAATATTTTTTTATTGATAGATGTGACCATTGATTTTAGTAATCCTGTTAACGATTTCTCGGGTATTGATGACTATAAAACAGATTTACACCAATTGGTCAACAATTTTATCGATAGACTGACCAAATTTATCCAAAATAGTGGCCATTTTTCGGCGGAAATAAGTGTTAAATCAGTGCTGTTTAATGGTAATGAACTGAAACCTAATGAATCGTTATGGGCTCAGGGAGTACGTAATGGTAGCCTAATAGAGGCATATCTTCAAAACTAAAGTTAAATTTAACATTAATAACAATAACTATGTTTTTTAATTATTAGATTAATAGAGTAAATTAAAAGATATTTATTATTAAATGTAACAATATTTTAAATTATTTTTTTTGTTTTATATTTTTCTAGACTATTTTATAAGTAAAAAATACGGTCATATTAATTTAAGCAAAAATAAACATATTATTAGAAAATACACATGTAATTTTTAGTATAACTTATAATTGTTACAGTTTTATAAAAATTTTAATTATTTAATTTAAAAAAAATAATTAGTTTTAACTTAATTACTTAAAATTATTTTATTTTATTTTATAATAAAACTATTATTAAAATTTTTAACTATTATTACATATTTTTTGTATTATAAATTAAAAATAACAAATTTTTATGCTTTAAATATTTTTAATTTAATTTTATTAGTTGTATATTTTTATAGACTATTTTATAAGTAAAAATAATTACGAAGTTTAATCCTCAAAAAATAAATTAAGTATTAGATAATAAACATGTAATTTTTAGTATAGTTTATAATTGTTACAGTTTTATACAAAAAATAATATGACAAATTTTTAACTTAATAATTTAAAATTATTTTATTATATATTTTATTTTAAGACTTATTTATTTAATTAATACATTATTAAACTTTACTGGAAAAAATTATTATGTGTTAATATTAATGATTTCTAATAAAATGTTTAATTAATAAAATAAATGTAAATTATTATGTTTATTTATGAAAATATTACAGTTTTTATTTAATTTTTTTTAGTAAAATCAAAATTTAAACTTAATTGAATAAAATTTATATTATAATTATATAAATCATATTACAATTAAACATTGTCACAATTTTAGACTAATTAAAATTAAGTTAAATAAATAATTATATATTATTTTATTAAAAATAAAATTATTACAGTTTTTTGTAACAATATAAAAAATTAAAAAAATTTCTTATTAATACAAAAACATTTTGTTATTAATAAAATTAGAAATTAACATCATGAAAGTAAATAATTTTAAAAAATTTATAAATTTTATATTTATAAACTTTATATTAAAATAAAATAAATAATGTTGTCAAACTGTAATAATATCAATTTCTACATAAAATTAATAAAATATTTAAGTAATATAACTAATTTAGAAACTTTTGATAAAAATTTATTTTTAATGTACTTTTTATATACTAATAATATAGATAATATTCTATAGATAATAAGTATTGCATTGTAATGTATAATATTAAAGCAAATGTTATATGTTTTTATTATTTATATATTTTAGTAAAATAAAAAATTTTAACTTATATATTTATATAAAATCTAATCGAATAAAATTTATAAATAATTTTATATTATATTTATATAAATAATTTTATATTATAATTATATAAATAATTTTGACAATTTAAAAAAAATATTATTTATAACTATAAACTTTTTAATTAATAAAATTACAAGTAATATAATAATTTTTTATAGTATTTTTAAATTAGATACAATATGTTGTAAATAGTAAGAAAATGTAGATTTTTAATTTTTTTTTATAAACCACATTTTTATTATTTCTAAATCAGTATGGTAATTTAAAAAATTATATAATTTTTTACAGTTTTTACAAATAAAAAATTTGTTAAATAATTAAATAAAAAAATATTTAGTTTTGAATTTATTATAAACTTTTTTACAATATCTAATAAATAATAACCTATTTACAATAAAACCTATTGTTTAAAAAAGTCAATGTTTGTTAAAATAATTAAAAGTTAACAATAATGATGTTTTTTGTATTTATAATATTTTTTGTCAATTAAAATTTATTTTTTATAAATAAAACTTAACTAATATATTAAAATTTTAAAAAATAATTTTTATTATACAAACAATTTTACAATAAGAGGTTTTATACAATTACTACTAATTAACTTGTATTAATATAATTATTTAATTAAATATTTAAATTATAGTTATTACAGTTTATTATTAATAGAAAAATATGAAAAAATAAGAAATAGTGTTGTTATACAAAATACAAATACATTATACAATTAAGTAAAATTAAAATTTTAAAATTATATAAATTATTTATAATATTGAAAATTTTACTTATTTAATAAGTGAAATTATATTAAATAAATAAATAATTTATTTTTTATATAAATAAAATATTTTTATTGTTCAATAAAATAAATAATTGAAAAATTATTTATGAAAATTAATAAAATATATAATTAAAAGTTATTTTTAAAATGTTTATATATTATTTGATTAAAAACCAAAATATAAAAACAATTTCTAATAAAATTTAGTAATTAATTAATACTAAATAAGTTTAAAATAATAATAACTGTTTTTAAGATTAATTAATATATAAATAATTTATTAGTTATAATTATTGTTAAACTGTAAAAACTATTATTCAAACAAAATAGCATATAATTATTTTATTTATTATTTAAAATGTTAGCATACGTTGTAGATGGCTTTTTTAAAAAAAAAAAATTTTTTTTAACTATATAAATACAATATAATTTTTAACTAAATCATTTTATTAACTAATTATTAATAATAAACTACATTAGTTATATAAATAAATGTTTTTATAGTTCATTAAAATAACATATTGAAAAATTATTTATTAAAATAAAATAAGTAAATAACTAATCAAAAGCCATTTAAAATTTTTTTTTTTTTAATTATTTTAGTCAATCTATACAATTTAATTAAAACTTATTCACAACATAAAATTATATATTTTTTTATTAAAATTTAAATTGTTATAGTATAAAAAATACAAAAAACATTTTGTTATTAATAAAATTAAAAATAAACATATTGAAAGCACATAATTTTAAATGT